CGTTATTCCATTTCCCAAACCACCATCCCAAACAGTCCCTGGTGCTACTCACGTGGCTGTGTGAGGAGTGTCCGGAAAATGGTAGGGAAATGGGTTGATGCCACAAGTTTTCATGCAAAATACGACAGTGGGGAATTTTCCATCATATTTCTGCTGAGTTGAGCAATGTAATTTAAAGTTTCTGATGCACTTAAATCGAAAATATCTCACTTTAGCGAGTGATGAGCGAATTTTTCGGGCACAAAATTGTTCACTGAGAGAAATATGCGGTGAAAATTAAGTTCTTTTTGCAATGAATATATGGTTTTAAAGCTGTGAAACTGATTATAGGATTTAAGAAATGATTTATTTCACGAGAAACCGATTTATATAGGCTTTTGGAACACTTGCGTTCTGAATGAGTCTATGCAACTTTATATTCTGATCTTATTAAATAAGATGTCACATTTTGTAACACAAGAATACTTTGCTTATACGTTAAACAATAGACATTATCTGTCAGAAATGAATCTTACATAGTAAAAATCATGTACTTCTTATCCCAGGAACAGAATCTGTCTTTCAAAGTCATCGAAGTTGACATTTTATTTGTTAATAAATCATTTTCTCTCAGTGCAATTTTTATTAAAAATTTGGCGAATGTCAAAATTATCAATTTATTTCACTTAAATTTCAATATTAATTGTAAGTTTAACGATGTGGAAGGATTTTATGGGTTGAAATGTTGGGTTTTGCGACATTATTCTGGGAAGGGTGTGAAAATTCAATTATTTAGCAATAATTTCCATTTGTTGTCTTGTGAACAATGCGCGTCGGCTGCAAAAGTTCCGCCCAAGATTGCGCCCTTCAACTTTGGGGATGAGGCCATGAATTATGGTGAGACTGTGTCGGCACAGTGCACAATTTCCGGGGGTGATTTACCTGTGAATGTGACGTGGTACTTCAACGGCAGTCCGCCAGAGGCATTCCTGGCCATTTACACGGAGAAGCGCGGCAATCGCATTAATAATCTCATGATTGACGCCGTCGCGGCCAAACACATTGGCAATTACACCTGCGTGGCGGCAAATAGGGCGGGAATTGTGCAGCACTCGGCAGAATTGCGAGTTAATGGTACATATTTACATGCACGACATTGATTTTTTTTTCTTCCTGTGTTCGCTGTACACTTTTTTCAGTTCCACCAAAAATTGCTCCTTTCGATTTTGGGGATGAGGCGTCGAATTCGGGCAATTCTGTGACTGTTCAGTGCACAATATCGTCTGGAGATTTGCCAGTGAACATCTCGTGGCTGTTCAATGGCACGGACATTGATCCGGCGTACGGAATTGGCACTGTGAGGATTGGGAAGAAGGTCAGTGTGCTGGCCATAGACGCGGTCAGGGGTATCCATGCGGGCATTTACGTGTGCCGTGCTTCCAATCGAGCGGCCACTGTTGAGTATTCTGCTCAATTAGCGGTTAATGGTAAATTGCTGTTATCTCTAACTTGATGCCTTTCTGTGTGTCTCTGTCCTGTCTCTCCCCAAAAGTCCTGCCACGCATCATCCCGTTCGCCTTTGAGAAGGGACCCGCGGTGATGGGACAGGATCTGACGCTGACGTGTTCAGTGCCGGACGGGGATTTGCCCATTGATATCCAGTGGTATTTCAATGGGCGCCCGATAATGGACTCCGTGGAGATGTCGATGATGAGGGTGGGCAAGAGGACGAGTGTGCTGAGCATTGAGGCTGTGAAGGCGCATCACGCGGGCAATTTCGCCTGTCAGGCCAAGAATAGAGCCGGAAGAGCGCAACACTCCACCGAATTGAGTGTCTATGGTGATCAAATGGAGGCTATAATGTTTAATTTCTCAAGCCCTTCCATGGAATCTCAGCTTGAGACTAATTGACAGACATACATAGGAGTTGTTTTCCATTTGCAAGCAATTAATGATGTTATTGAACAGTCTTAAGAACATTTGTGATGAATCTTCTGAGATTCTGCGAAAGTGCTCAAACTTTTTTTTCTCACCCTCTATTTATATTTATTTACATCGTTTTTTTTTGTTTTTGTCCCATCAAGTGTTTACGTCAAATTCCATATACCTTTTATCTCCTCTGCAGTCCTGCCAAAAATAGCTCCTTTTGCGACTGGCGGTGCTCTCTTTCCCGGAGACTATTTTCAATTAAACTGCGCCGTGGTCCATGGAGATTATCCCTTCAACATCACATGGTGGTTCAATGGTGCGCCCCTTGGCGGTGGCGCGGGCGATGTGACGGTGCTAATGCAGGGCAAAAGGAGTAGCTCGCTGAATATTGACTCAGTGATGGCTCATCATGCCGGAAATTACACTTGTGTGGCTGCAAATGGGGCTGGAAATGCCACATCCACCGCCCAGCTCACAGTTATGGGTGAATTAACCGCATTACATGCCCTTTTTGTTCTCATCTCCTCACATTCTTTTTTTTGCCATGGTTTCACTGGGAACTCCTTTTTTTGTGTGTTGGGCGAGAGAGAGGGAGAAAATTTCAAGTATATTTTGTATTTAAAGTATGATTAAATTCCGTCCTTATCAATGCACAGCAGAACAGGCAGCTAGAATGTTGAAAATATATACTTGTAATTTTCTCTCTGCATCTTTATTTCGCTTTCGTGGAACACTAAAAAAAAAAACCTTCACCTACAACTCTTCTCACTCCCTTATCGTCATAATATGTGTAATAATATAAAAAAGGAGCTTTTATAGTCCAAGCCAGAGAGTTCCTTCCGTTGGCGCAGGAAATGGTGCGAGGGGAAAAAAAGCGCAAACGGCAATTATGTTTCTGTGGGGTTGGATTAAATGATGCAAGGAGTAATTAAAATAAGTCTAATTGTATAAAATTAGCCACAAATTGTTGCTATTAATATTTTCCACCTTTTTTTCTTCTTTTCTCTTCTCTTCTCTTCTCTTCTGGCTGGAATCTCGTGTGGGCGATTGCGAAAAAGAATTGCCACAGATTCAGCCTCTGGCCGTGTCAACGGACACCAGCTATGAAGGGGATTATGTTCAATTAACGTGTATCGTGTCCAAGGGGGATTTCCCGATTGTCTTCGCGTGGTCGTTAAACGGGCAGCCGGTCACGAGTTCAGGGCCAAGAGCGGCCACAACACTCAATGTGGGGCGCCAAACAAGGTAAAATTGCCATAATAAATCTCGTGGCACTGCCAGGAGACGTTATCTGACGGTGTTTCACTGCACTCGGAGAAAATTGAGGAAAATCTGACGTTTGTCCGCAGAAATTTATGTGATTGTCTAATGAGAATCCATCAGAATGTCATCAGACAATCGTATGTTGCAAAAGACAAGATAATAGCAAGAATATGTATTGATGAATAATTTTAGCGAGATAATCATGTTAAGCTTTTCTTGATATGCTTGAAAGACAATCCTATGACGCTCAAACGAATGATGATAGACATTCTGACTGAAAGGGTGTAAATGAGATTACTTGGTGGATTGTAATTTTCTCTGAGTGCAGATGTTCTCCACTGCTTTCCACGCTTTGCGGTAAAGAGGAGGAAAATATATATGAAAGCTTCTTATTATTTTAATTATGCTGGATTGAAGAAGGATGGCAAAGAAAAATGCGATTCATTGTGACAAGCGATATTAAGGCGAGAGAGAGAGAGGAAATGAATCCTTCACGGTGGAGTGACATGAAAGCCCGAAAAATATGCATGAGCTTTTTTATTTATTACTTTTGTCAAAGCTCTCAGCCTAAAGCTTTTTGCAGAAGCATAGGAAAGTCAGTGGAGGAAAAATGGTTGAAGGAAAATGATTATAATGTGATGTAATATTTCTCACATTTATTTCGTGTTCTGCTCATCCTGTGATTCTGCTGGGATTTGTAGTTTGCTGATTGTACAGAATGTGAGGCATCATCATGCCGGATTGTACACTTGCACAGCCACAAATCCTGCTGGAAATGCCACGGAATCAGCCGCTTTGGCTGTGAAGGGTATACAAGAGCTCTTTTGCATAAATATGAAAAATATGCTGCCATTCGGGAGAGAGAAGCGAAAATCCCATCCTGAATTTCCCTGCACTTTCTTTTTTGTTGTTCACCTTTTGTCATCTCGTGAGACATTTCTCAGCGCCCACGCTCAGGATGCTTTTGCCCACCTTCGTCATCGTGGGGATGTTTTTTTTTTCCTCCATGGGAGATTCTCTGATGCGGAAAAGTCGATGCTGGAGAGATTCGTCTCGATGTGTGAAGGGATTGAAAGGATGTTTTTCCTCTGTTACACACTCTTGTCCTCCGTGGGCGGGCCACTTCAAGATGCGGGCTGTCGCTTTGGGTGATCCACACACTTTCCGGATGCGGAAGGGCGCGTGTTGTGTGTGTGTGTGTGAAGAGTCTAAGCGCAGGGATACAGAAGAAGAAGAAAAACCTCCTCACCCACATTGTCCTTTTGGCCTTCGCGCGGCGGTGGAAAGACTCAATTTGCAAGAGAATCCCGTCACTCCAACTCCTCATCCTCTTCAGAGTAGATCTCTTTTTTTATGTTGCTCAACTAATGGTAGTGGTTTTAGAGCATAAATTGCATGGCGTGTGTAATTCAATTTTGGAGCCAAGAGATGATAAATTGCGTCGGTGAATTTTATTGCATTTTTCTCAACCAAGGTGAAATCCTTGGATGGAAGAGGAGAAGAAAGGAATGTCAATAAAGACAAGAGCTTTTGCATAAATTTAGGTCACAGAATGTCACATTCCTGATTTATCATCTCGTGTGCTCTTCATTAAAATGGACAAATTAATGTAGTTTTATTAACACAAAATTAATTTCTCTTAACTCTACTAAGTTGTCCCACATTTTCTCACTAAGTTTCATTTATGATTTTTCTCACATTTGTACGCAAAATGTCCTGGAGCTCGTCCGTTCAATGCATGCTGAAAAAAGAAAGTCAATGCTTTGATTGTGATATTTGAGAAGGTTTAGCAAGAGTGGCGAACTAATTGACTCGTGTGCGTGTTGCAGTGCCACCGCGTTGGATTCTTGAGCCAACTGACAAGGCATTCGCACAGGGATCAAATGCCAAAGTTGAGTGCAAGGCTGACGGCTTTCCCAAGCCACAAGTCACGTGGAAGAAGGCAGTTGGAGACACGCCCGGAGACTATAAGGATCTGAAGGCGAACGACAATATTCGCGTTGAAGATGGAACGCTGTTTGTGAACAATATTCAGAAGAACAACGAAGGCTACTATCTCTGTGAGGCAATCAATGGCATCGGCAGTGGATTGAGCGCTGTGATTCTGGTCAGTGTTCAGGCGCCGCCAGAGTTCACGGAGAAGCTGCGAAATCAGACGGCGCGTCGTGGCGAACCGGCTGTGCTACAGTGCGAAGCGAAGGGTGAAAAACCCATTGGTATTCTCTGGAATATGAACAATAATCGCCTGGACCCGAAAATTGACAATCGCTACACAATTCGCGAAGAAATTCTCACCACAGGCGTAATGTCGAGTTTGTCGATTAAACGCACGGAGCGCACAGATTCCGCACTGTTCACATGCGTGGCCACAAATGCTTTCGGCAGTGACGATGCCAGCATTAACATGATCATTCAGGAGGTGCCGGAGATTCCCTATGCCCTCAAAGTGCTGGACAAGTCTGGAAGAACCGTGCAATTGAGCTGGGCAAAGCCATACGATGGAAACTCTAACCTGGATCGGTATGTGTGATCATGTTTCATTAATTCTAATTAATTTTCTGATGATATTTGGCTTCTTTATCACCGCTTTAGGTATGTGATTGAGACGAAGAGATCGCGAGGCTCGTGGGAACACGATGTGGAGCGTGTCTTTGTGCCGGGTCACACAAATGAAGCTCAAGTGCAGAAACTCAGTCCTGCCACGACTTACAACATCCGCATCATTGCTGAGAATGCCATTGGCGTGTCTGATTCTTCCGAGGTGGTGACAATCATCACGGCCGAAGAGGCGCCGTCCGGAAAGCCACAGAATATCAAGATCGACCCAATCAGTCAGACTGCCTTGCGCGTATCCTGGAAGCCACCGCCGCGCTCTGAATGGAACGGCGAGATCCTCGGCTACTATGTCGGCTACCGACTGAGCAGCACCAATTCCTCCTACATCTACGAGACTGTGAATTACGTGACAGAGGAGGGAAAGGAGCATAGCCTGGAACTGAATAATCTGCGCACCTACACACAATACTCGGCCGTGATTCAGGCATTTAACAAGGTCGGCGCCGGACCGATGAGTGACGAGGAGAAGCAGTACACGGCCGAAGGGACGCCAGATCAGCCGCCCAGTGACACAACTTGCACCACTCTCACGTCCCAGACGATCCGCGTGTCGTGGGTCTCGCCGCCGCTGGAGTCCGCCAACGGCATCATCAAGGGCTACAAAGTGGTTTATGCGCCGAGTGATTTGTGGTATGGTGAGTATCACTGTCTCAATTTACTTGTACACCCTTCTTGTGCTCATGCCAGAAGATAAGGGTGGATTTGTTTCGCTCACTTTCGCAGCATTTTTCCATGTCGCGAGTGCCAATCTAAAGTGTGTTAGAGATTTGAGCTCTAAATCAAGAAATATTCTCCCGAAAAACCACCAAAGAAGCCTTCTTTTGAGCAAATTTTTATCTTTATATCAAGAAGAATTTCCAAAATCATCCTGACAATTGAGTTTATCGTTAAATTATAATAATTAATTTAATTCGGATCGAATTGCAAGACTTTAGCGTGGAATGTGCGGCCCATTTAATTTAATGATGCATGATGGGAAAACCCTTAAGCATTTTCCTCTTACACTGGGTGTATCTTTGCGTCTCCCTGTCACGGTTCAGATGATAAGAACAAGGACTACAAGAAGACGGCTTCGAGTGACACAGTTCTGCATGGTCTGAAGAAGTACACCAACTACACAATGCAAGTTCTGGCCACCACATCGGGCGGCGACGGTGTTCGCAGTGCGGCTATTCATTGTCAGACAGAGCAGGACGTTCCGGAGGCACCGACAGATGTTAAGGCGTCTGTCATGTCCAATAAGGCTATTCTCGTGTCCTGGCGACCACCGACTCATCCCAATGGCGTCATTCTGCAGTATGTCGTGTATGTGAAGGCGAAGGACAGCGAGGGAGAGCCAACGGGACAGAAAGTGCCGTCCTACCAGATGAGTCTGGAGTCGTCTGGACTGGAAGTGAACAAGCCGTATGAGTTCTGGGTGACGGCGAGCACGGTGATTGGTGAGGGACAGCCCAGCAAGACAACATTGGCGATTCCCAATGACAAAGTTCCGGCCAGGATTGCTTCCTTTGACGATACTTTCACTGCCACTTTCAAGGAGGACACGAAACTGCCATGTTTGGCTGTTGGAGCGCCCACGCCGGACATCAAGTGGAGAATCAAGGGTGTTGCATTCACGCCTACGGACAGAATGCGCCAATTGCCAGAGGGTTCGCTGTTCATCAAGGAGGTGACGCGTCAGGATGCCGGCGAGTACACGTGCACAGCTGAAAACTCCATTTCCCGTGACTCAATCACGCACAAATTGATCATATTGGCGCCACCACAATCGCCACAAGTCACGCTCACGACCACCACCACGGATTCACTGACGCTGAAGCTGAAGCCTCACGACGCGGACACGGCGCCTCTGCATGGTTACACGCTGCACTACAAGCCGGAGTTTGGCGATTGGGATACAGTGGAAGTGGCTGTGGATGCCCAGAAGTACACCATTGAGAATCTATTCTGCGGCTCGCGATATCAAGTGTACGCAACGGGATACAATACAATTGGCGCTGGTGAGGCGTCGGACATCCTCAATACGCGCACAAAGGGATCCAAGCCAATTCTGCCGGAAATGTCCCGCTTTATCGATGTGTCATCCAACTCCATCACACTCCGTTTGCCATCATGGAAGGACGGTGGCTGTCGCATGTCGCATTTTGTGGTGGAGCACAAGAAAAAGTTGGTATACACTACTATATATATATTGTACTTTCCTCACAGTTTATCTCTCTCTCTCCCCCTGTTACGAGAGAAAGGGCGGATTTTGTGACACAAATACCCATTTTCATGATTGCCCTGTCTCGTCTCTTTTCCCACGAGTGGCTCTCTCAGGCGACGAAGAAAAAGATGGTGATAAATTTCACGTAGAAAATTGCGAGACATTCCAATATGTTTTTGTCGTTAAATTGGAGGACAAAATGTTCTCCTTGACTTTATTGTATTACACATTCCATGGGTTATAAGGAGGAAATCTGTGCACTTTCACAGTCCCTAAATGCACAACAATGTGAATGTTGGCAAGGGGAGGAAGGGGGTGGGAAAATGTATAGAGGAGAGATTTTTGGAGAGTTTTACATTCATATTCATTCCTGGGGTTATAAATAAGTGCCAAAGCGAGATTTCTTTTTGATTTAAGTGTCCTGGAATGTTTGATACTAAGAAGTGAAGGCAAGATTTGAATAAGAGCTTTATTTTCACTGTTTTTTTTTGCACTTTTTATCACTGTTCAAATGCAGTGAACTTAAGTCTCTTGAAAAGCTCTTGCAAAGTTCCACAAGTTTTCTGGACGTTTAAACTCGAATAGAAGCAATTTTCAATTTCTAAGTTGAATTTTTTGTATATTTTAAAAGGGGTTTTTATTCCCCCAAGAAGCAGCGCTTATTCCTGACATTGATAAGCATGTGTTTATCAATGTTCTTAACAAGAGAGATAAATTGTACGCGTAGAAAAGATAGTAATGAATCACACACATCTTAAGCTTTCAAGTGCGTTTAACTGAAAAGTACTCATGTCTCACCATTGAATCTTTTCTTTTCTCTCTCTCTCTCGCTCTGTTTCTTTCCGCCACTTTTCACATGCAATGGCATCCTTGAAGGGATCAAACGGAATGGAATCAGATTTCGAATAATGTGAAGCCAGGTGGAAACTTTGTGGTGCTCGACTTGGAGCCGGCAACTTGGTACAATCTCAGGATAACAGCGCACAATAGTGCCGGATTTACAGTAGCTGAATATGAATTTGCCACGCTTACAGTGACGGGAGGTAAGAATTTCTATCGCACATTTATCTATATATAGAGAAATATTGCACCTCATAAAGCGTTTTGGTTTTCTATCAAGCAAAAAGTAATAAAAAAAAGTGAAAAAAAACCTATTTTAAAAGACACGATAGAATATAAATTCAATTTAGTCAGGCACACAAAACACACTGAATATTTTTCCGTCAAGATATAAAGAAAAATGATTCGATGAGACAAATTGAAATTTCCTGCATGTTAAATTGCATGATATGGCAATAATTGATAACTTGAGATTTACAATTTTACCGTCCCGCAAATAATGAATTTTACGAAATAGAAAAAAAGAGTTTCACTCTCTGAATTTTCCCCATTTAGAAAAAAATCTCCTCAGTTATAATTCATAACTTTTGACTGATTTTCCCTGCACATATAAAATAAAAGAACCTTCTCTTTCTCATGGAGTTAATTTTGGTGCGATTTTCAATTTGAAAATTCAATTTGTACAAAAGTTTTTATGCTTTTTGCGCAAAAAAAACTGTGATGTTTTCAAATGAAAAAAAAAAATGCGCACAAAGCCAAATAAATTGTTAAATGAAAAGAGAAATGGAATCAATTACAAATGAATAAATAAATTCTAATTTCCCTGAAACAACCTAAACACTAAATTTACCGTAGATTAAATTGAAGAACGAAAAATGATTAACTTTTTTGAAATGGAATGACGTTATTTCAGTAGATTCTTTTGATTTCCTTATATTTTGGATAAAAATTGAATATATGATTAAAAGATTGGTTACTTGACACACACACTCCATTTGTTAATAACCAAACGTTTCTTAATTGGTAAGTTTGCTTAATGGTTGCGGGTTGAGTTCTTTAGAGGCATCGCATCACTTTGTTAATCATAACTTTTCCTCATATTTGTTCATTGATTGTTGTTTATTACATGTTAAGAAGTTTTTTGGAACGTTCTCTGTCATGCTTAGCTTTGTATATCAAGTCAGTTCATAAAACATTTTGCGAAATGACGCGGAAAATCAAGATGTGTTCATCAATGTTGGAATGCAGGACATGCTTTGCTTATGGGCAATGTGATGAAAGTGCGTGCGGAGAATCACAAGACAGTGCATTGCTCTTTCTAGGACAACTGAAGGGAATCACAGTCATGAATCTTGATCTTTTGCTGCCTTTGGTTCAAGCTGAACCGCATTTATCGGTTGATGACATTGCAGTGACGGTGAATTCGACAGCAAAGCTTGTCTCTGTAAATCTTCAGCAACTGGGAATGATGACTTTAATGGGAAAATGGGTGCCTAAAGAGCTGTCGAAGGAGAATTTAATGCAGAGAAGAGAAATTTCATCGATTCTGCTGGAGAATTCCAAGACAAATCGAATCTTAGAGCAAATTGTTGCGGGAAGTGTAAAGTCGATTCCTTATTATGTGCCATCGAGGCAAAAGCGACGTTCCGGAAGGTTTAATGTGAGAGGCGGCAAATCCAGAGGAAGAGCGGGGAATGAAACTATTGCTTGGCTGCCTTTGTCTGTTTGGTGGGACACTGAAGGCGTGATTTACTATGAATTGACAGAGCCAGATGAGCTTCACTCCACTGATTTGCTATGCGAACAATTTGTGCGGTTGAAAATGAAATTGATGGAGAAACGGATGAAGAAAGCAGGAATTCATCTTCAGCAAAATTTCCCACTATCTTCGAAGGTTCTGAGAACACTTCAGGAATTAAGGTTGGATCTCCTGATCAATTCAGACAATTCACCGGACATGAATCCAACGGATTATCACTTGTTTCCGGTCTTGGAGGAGTTTCTCAAGGGAAAACGCTTGCGTTCTAAAGAAGAAGTGGAGAAGGAAATATTCGTATTTTTCCATTCTCTACCGGAAACATTTTACAAGGAGGGCTTTGAAAAGTTACCGATGAAGTGGAAGAAGATCAGAGACAATGACGGAGCGTATATTTTCAAGTGAAATGAACTGACTTAATATACAAAGATGTAGTGAGATGGAATACTCTCAAATTATTAGAATACTCTTTAATTCTCTTATATTGATATTAAAGCAACTTGTTCTGTATAAATATTTGATGTATAAATGGATATTTGCCATCCCTATCATTTAATCTTTCCTCTTATTTGATATTTCAATTGTGTCTCTATATATTGGCAGTGTGTTGAGTTGACCTCTATATCTTCCCGCCCTTTCAGTTTAATGCTTAGTCTATGTTAATCTATATGTGCAGAAGTGATGATTTTCCAAATTGCAGCCTCAATTTTGATGCCAAGATAAAGAAGAGCTCAAGAAAGGCTCAAGAAAATGATGTTCTGGCAAAATATCAAAAAGTTTGTCTTGGGAATTTACTTTAAACCAAGACGCCAACCAGGGAAAATTTGAAAATCCCTTTTCTGGCACCATTAAATGAGCATCAACTCTGAGAACAAGATGCAGAAAATGTAGGGAGTATCTATATTGATCAAAGAAAGAGAATGTGAAAAATAATAAAGCTGAAAATCTGTTAAGAGAATCTTGATTTGGGATATTTTAGCTGAGACACTTTGTCAGAATATCAAAAATCTTGATCTTGGAATTACTTTCTATCTTGGTGTAACAATTGAGGCCTAAATCTTTCCTTCCTGTGCTATCTTTTTTTCATGTTAAATCAAAATTCTGCCTAAATTTTTACCTTAATAAAAAGAAATTTAATTTAATAAACAGACAATATTTTGTGAAAATTTTTCTAATCATAGTATGAAGAAGAAGAAAAGTGAAGAAAGACAAGAGACAAATCGTGAAAATTGGTTGTTTCAGGGACAATTGCACCCCCGCGCAAATTACCTGATCTCACTGCTGAGGACACCCTACGCATCATCCTGTCCAATTTGAACCTAGTGGTACCTGTAGTTGCCGCGATACTAGTTATATTAATTGCCATAATTGTGATTTGTATCCTGCGTAGCAAGGGACATCACCACAAAGGTATATTAACTATAAGGAATATTAATTCTTTTCTCTTTTTTCTCGGTTTCTTTCTTCCTCCTAAATCCCAACTGTTTTGCGAACCGCCCTGAATTTGCTGAAATTCACCTTCCTGTGCCGTGTCCTGTTTGTCAAAAAAAAAACAAACAATCTCACAATACAAACATGAAAAAACCACAATAAAAAATATCCCTTTTCCCAAAATCTCTGATCCTTTCATACAAACACGCACACACAATTCATCAAAACACATGAAACACTGTTGAAAAAAACACAATTGCAAACATGAAACACGACGAGTTTAGGAACAATCTCACCGCCACTGGGAAGCGATACGCGGCCAGGCTTCAAGCAATACCTGCCTTGGATGCCAGAGTGGCTGGACCTTAATTTTATGGTGCCTTTAATAGCGACCGTTATTGTCGTCGCGGTGGGTATTCTTGTGATATGCGTCGCTCTATCCAGGCGGCGATTAGACGATCGAGGTGGACCAAAGGATGTCTACTGTAGGTTTTTCCTTCAATCACAAAATTTACCATCTATTCTTTTCAGTTTATTCTGTTTTTTGCTGTATACACCAAAAACGCGACTGGAGTTCATAAACGCCGCATTCATTTGATCATGATTTATCAGTGGTGAAATTTACACGTTTGTGAACGTCAGTCGCGCATAAATTGTGTTTATATTTTGTTTTTATTTTCTCAAATCAACTTCATTGTAATCTAACTTTATTATACTCACATGTTTGTTGTTATAACAAATTTAATCTATATAGGACGAGAAAGTATTGCACGAGAAAAGAACACACTAAATGATGAAAAATCACAGTGACTCACCAAAAAATAAGGATTTCTCTCACATTTTCATCATCATCATCATGAAATATTTCCTCCTGATAATACTTATGATTGATACTGTTGAAAAATATTTTGTCTCTCTCTTTTCACTCACTCTCTCTCTATCTCTCTCTCTAATGCAACTTTTGAACCCGCCCTGACTTTATTTCTCACTTTACTCTGTCTCCTTTCATTTTCTCTCATCTCTTTATCGTTATTCTAATATGTGTTTAGAAAATATGATAACCAAGAAAAAAAATTGCCCTCAAGATTGGTAAAGAATCAAGTGAAAAAAGTGCCCTATTTTAGTTGGTACTGTTAGTTTTCTCATAACTCATCCGCATGGATTTTTTGCTGTGTTGTTGAATTTTCCAAATAATTTATCTCGAACAGTGTGTGAATTAATTGAGTGATTAAGAGTCAATTCATCATCATGTTTCATCACTGTTGTAAATTAATTTTCTCTAATCAAATACACATAATAATAATAATGTCTATTAATGTCAATTTGACCAGCGTAGAAAAAAAAAGCTACACACAATTTTCCCAACTAATTGCACTCTATTTTTAGACACACTTTTTTCCATGACGAGTTCTTGTTGCCATTTGCGCGAAAAAATTCATCAAATTCATTGCGTGAAATTGCGTGAAGAGAGACAACTAATATCACCAACTGAATTGTGTTTCTTTGCACATTCAAAAAGAAAGAAAAAAAAAGATGAGAAAATTGCTTGCTATTGATTGTTCCCACCAAAAAAAAACCCACCCCCAAAACCACCCCTCTAACGAAGATGCTTTTCATTATCATGAAAGAATGGACAAAAGTGAATTTTCACAGGAGACAAAATTCTTTACTATTTTCATTTCTTATTTTGTCAGATTTTCTATTTTTGCCAATGCCAGAAAATGGCTAATTTGGAGAACGTAAAATTCACCATTCTTGCTGCACTTGATGCATTTTGCTGATTCACTGCACAGTTTTGCACAAATTCTCTTTGGTTTGGTTCGTTTCTTGTTTTTTTATTGTTTCAATATTATGCAAAATTTGCTGATTTCTTGATTTTATCATTCTCATTTTGATCTTTCATCTCTTGTAAATTTTTCGTGTAACAGAATTTGATTGCCGGTTTTTATATTGAAGTGCGCCCGGAAAAAATGACGTTGACGATGAAGAAGAGATGCGGTGCAAACGTGGAGCAAATGATTGTTGATAAAAATTGAAAAAAATGTTTTGATAAATGGGTAAAGAGAAAGCATCTTGGTGTCCCCCATTCACAGTGGGAACTATTATTAATTCTAGATGATGTAGTTTACAATCAAACAATGGGACCGGGAGCCACGCTGGACAAGCGCCGGCCGGACCTCAGGGATGAGTTGGGCTACATTGCGCCGCCCAACAGGAAGTTGCCACCTGTGCCGGGCTCCAACTACAACACCTGCGACCGCATCAAGCGAGGTACAGTCATAAGTAAGCGTCCAACAATCCATTATTCTTAACACTCCGCGTCCCGTCACGAGGGGAAGATATAATATGGCTGAAATTTGTATACAAGACAGCTTAAATTGCTCAATTATGCAGCATTATTTACAAATCAAAGATAGAAAATAAGAAATAGATTAATTCTCTAACGTTTTACACTATTTTTGGCCATAATATCTCCTTCTCGTTCTCATCATTTCATCTGTTAATTTGATTAGATGCAATTTTTCCCCTTTTCTCAATTTTTGCCATGCAGATTTTTATTCATTGTTGTTATAATGTGGTGAAAAAATGCCAACCATTCGAGCAAAAGTTACCACTGGAGTGATAAATTGTCTGTGGTTCTCGAATTGCTGGTGGATTTTTGCTGTTAGTTTACTATCTCTGAATGTCATTTTATATGGATGCACGTACAAATTGAGTTCATCTCCATTGTACAGAGAACAGCAAGTATTTTTTTTCCCCCTCCCAATTCGTCATCCAATGTTTCTCCCATTTCCACGCTTTTGGAGTTAATTATTATTTTTTTCTGTGACAAACCATTTTTTTCCTTTTTTCTCTTTTATGTTTTCTCCCGCGTTGTTCTACGAAATGTGCTGTTGTTGTTATTTTATCAAAAACAAAAACAAAAAATGTGTTTGTAAACCTTCATCCTGAACCTCCACCGAAAAAAATCCATTGTCATTGGCATTTCAATTGAGTCCAGGCCGTAGTATGAGATCTAATCACTCCACCTGGGATCCGAGGAGACCTCTGTATGAGGAACTGAAGCCACCGCCGATTCCCAGGAGACACCATGGCTCAGACGAGTGCTATCATCCGCACGGCGCAGGTAGATTGCAGAACAGTTTCTTTCCTTATCATTTTCACTTTATTTTGTGCGAAGGCAAAGTAAGACAAGTTCATGTATATAATAATGCTTATTTTGTCTTTAAACAATGCTTTCTGTTTAATTTCACCAATTGGACAATTTTGTCTCATTTTCATTACTTTTCGTTTCACTCTCGTCATGGGCGGAGTCAGAATAAGCAGAATTTTGATAAGTTAATAATATTTATTTTTTTAATATCTTACACGTGAATTAAAACTTGTAAAAAACGATGCAAAAAAACTTTCCAATTTTTCTTCTACTCAGATTTGAACTCGTGACAGATTTCTAGCTCAGTTCGTAGAGCATTTCACTACCAATTCAAAGGTTCTGAGTTCGAATCCAGATGATAAAGTTTAAACTTGAAAGGTTTTACCAGCAAATTCTGACTGTGCCCATGAATTCTGAGTGATAAGAATTTACATTTTGTTGATTATAATTTCTGTTGAAGACGAAAAAGAAAATTACGCAAATAATTCGTAATGCGAAACAGACAATTTTTGTGATGATTTCCAAGTACTCTTGTTGTTTTGTCTGACATGGAATTTGATATGAGTTTTGATGTTAAATTGTCCGGAGAAGATGGTTTTCTTCATCAACGGACGGAAGAGAGAGAGAGAGAGAAAAAGAGAAATTTGGTAAGGCAAGTCCAAGAGTTGTTTTCTATACATTTTTTTATCAATATTATTCTTCATCCTCTCGTTGTTGCCTTATGATATTTAGCGTTCATCATCACATCCCTTTAAGCATTTTTGTTTTGTTTCATTCCATCTTTCACGAAGTATTGCCCTTGTTATCTAGAGCGTATTTCGTTTTTGATTAATTAGCTTCATCATCAATCTCTCATGCGTGATTGTTAATCACTCCTCGATGTGTCACAAGTTCATAATAATGGCTGTGGTTGAATTGCGAAGGAGGAATTTTTGCCTCCTTCAACACGAAGTCGAGTGGAAATTGCTAATCAATTGTCTTTCCATCTTTTTTTTTATCTTCCTGCAACTGCACTTGTGCGCCGCACACAATGGAGGTATGGAGGATGAGATCTGCCCGTACGCCACGTTCCACTTGCTGGGCTTCCGCGAGGAGATGGATCCCACGAAGGCAATGAACTTCCAGACGTTCCCACACCAGAACGGTCACGGCGGACCCGGACATGTGGGCACAATGGGACCGCCGGGAACGATGCAACATCCTGGCCACGTGCACTCACGCTCGGGCTCCCAATCGATGGTCAGTGTTTCAGTTTCTCCCGGTTTTATTGTTTCACTCAACTCTTTGGGCGTGATTTAATGGCGTCTCCTTGACACTCTTTTGCCGTGCGCGCGGTGTGAAAAAGTTTTTGAGCCTCTAATAGGATTACACTTTTTCACGGCACTCTTCCCTGTGGCTTTTTCATCCACTTCAACAGAGCGTGGCTGAAAAGTGTAGAATTCATTGTAGATTGTCGCTCTTGAGTTGCAAGCCATGCCAAAAAATTAATTGAGCGATGTTCTTGAGCGACACGACGAACAGAGAGAGAAAGAGAGTGTGGGAGAGAGCAATTAGCGAAGTTTTATTTGGCTGAAATTCTCCCCGAGTAATTTTGTTATTCATTATGATTTGACTGGAGAACCATATATACAAACCCCATAATTGTTTGTGGCTTTTCATGGGCGTGAAAGGAATGGCGAAGCTTTCAGGAAATCCATCTCCGCTCTGTCGATTCTGCACGCTTTCCTTCGCGCGTCACTGTCTCTCGGGGGATCCGGGAGACGTGTGAACGTGTGTGTGTGTGAGCGATGGGCTTTAGGGGATGAGAGGAGCTCGGAAGTGGGGCGGAATTGGAGTGAGTGTGAGACTTAATGAGGACAAAAGCTTCGCCCGCGGGGCGGCGAAAAGTTAAAATAGACGGATTGAAGGGATTAAGAGGATGGCGAAAGAGAGTGGAGCGGAGAACGTGTGAAATTGAATACGGAAAGGAGACGCTATTAATTCCCCAAATGAATTGTTTGTCTTGGGTGGTGGCATTTGTTCATTTTGTTGTGGTTGCCTAGCCACGCCATCAGAACCGCTATGCGCGCAAGAATAGCCAAGGTGGTCAGAGTTCAATCTACACGCCGGCTCCGGAGTACGATGATCCCGCCAATTGTGCCGAGGAGGATCAATATGTGAGTGTTTTTCTCAGGTTGTCTTACTTCTATAGTATTTCCAGTAATTATTAGCAATATAGAATAGAAATTTTGCCATTAAATTGATTTTCAGACCAAGATTTGATATTTTGAGCATTAGCTTAAAAGGTGTCTGTGCTAAAATGTCCCAAACAAGAGATTTATGCCATCAATTGCTTATAAAAACTGTCTCATAGCGAGAAAATGGAAATTTTCATTGTTAAATTTCACTTTTTAGTGATACTGGAATAGCATTAATCTATTTTTCTGCATAAATGCCTGTTTTTGGTGTCAGAAAAGGGTTTTTCTTGGTTCGTGTCTGAAATATAAAAATTTTTCTTGGTAGAAATTATATTTTCTTGTTGTAATATCGCAATTTTTTCCTTGAAATGAGAAGAAAACGGTTTTCTCAAGATAAATTGCCATTGCTGTCGCTTATTTGCAGCGTCGCTACACTCGCGTGAATTCTGGTTCTCTCTATGGCGGCCCGGGAGGTCCTGAATATGACGATCCGGCCAATTGCGCTCCCGAGGAGGATCAGTATGGCTCGCAGTATGGCGCTCCGTATGGCGCCCCGTACGACCACTATGGCTCTCGTGGCTCCGTGGGGCGCCGCAGCGTGGGTTCCACCAGGAATCTGCCCAATGGCTCACCCGAGCCGCCGCCACCGCCGCCGCGCAACCACGCCGAGAGCAACTCCTCGTTCAATGATTCCAAAGAGAGCAACGAAATATCAGAGGCTGAGTGTGATCGCGATCACGGACCGCGTGGAAATTATGGAGGTAAGTTTGCCCTTTCCTTGTGCCCTCTGTTTAGGGTCACAGAAGTTCAGAGAGCGCGTTGATCCTTGTAAATACAAATGTGCTTTCGCTTACGTCATCGCGTGTATCTCTGAATCTCTGTATATATAAAGTTGTGAAGAAGGAGATTTTGTGTGAAGAGAAGAAAAGGTATTTCATGTCTGTTTTCTAACTCTCAATGCAGAGAACACAGACGAGGGTGAGTTTTCTAACTAGAGTCAATAGAAAAAAGTTCTTGATGTGTTTCTTTTCTATTCATTTTATCACTATTGAATTGGTTTCACCACACATACGAAAGCGTGTGTGTTTGAACAATTATAAATTGAGTTGCAATTCAGCTCATTCACAGTTTCTTATTTGTTTGTTGAATCATCACAAAATGGATTGAATTTCATCGTCATCTCATACAACATTGAGAACTGGATTCACTTTTGTACTCGTCTCATGATTTAATCATTACATTACAGCGCGACGAAATATTTTTAGTCACAATCACCAATTGATTTTACCCACTCCATTAATCCATATAATATATTTATGAAAGTTTTGCGCCTCTTAAGTTCTCATGCTCCATATTTTAAAAGCTCATATCAAATGTGTTTTTAACATTCTGTTTGGTTGCCGCACTTGTGGTAGATTTTTGTGTCATATAATATTTACAGAAACTCATGGTATTTTTCACTTTTACAATAGCCTTATTATTACTACATTGTGTTTGTCATGTGTTTAGTGTTGAGATTTGTGTATAACATGTTTTCCTTTCTCATACATTTCTCTATTCTTCATCGAAATTAAAAAAAAAAGTGTAATTAATTTTTTCCGTATGACTGTGTGACTATGTTTGTGGCATGTGGAAAAGGAAATGGAATTGTTATATTCCGCTCACAAATAATTATAATATTTTGTGTTTAACGAGAGCTTTTTTCCATCCCTGAACATAAGGATGAGATATAAAAAAAAAATCATTGCAACTTAGAAGAGTGATTTTTAATCCATTTTTTTTATGAGAGAAAAAGAATTAAAATTGCACCCATTTTCATGACAATTTCAAGTGATTTTCCTGTTAAAGCGTCTCACAAAAAAAGGAGGGATTCCTGGAAAGTTGTGTGTAAAGTAAGAGTTGAAGATTAATGTTTCCACCCTCTTTCGTCATCAGAAGAGGGAGGCTAAATGTGAGATGTTTCTGGGGTAATTCTACACTTGTCACATCAGAAACAGAGTGCGCATATTGTATTCATGCGATATAATAGCATGTAGGCATTAGTGATGATGATGAGAAGGAAGGTGTAATGAGAGGAAGATTATCTGTAATTTGTATATGAAATTTCACAGCCTTAAGGTCTCCTCATCAGAAGGATGGGCGCACAACTGAAGAAATGCGCAAATTGATTGAGAGGTATGTGCAAAAAAAAAGGAACACATTTTAGTTGCTTTCTGTTTCCATTGCCAAAATTCGCCGTGTGTTTTTTTTTTCTCTGATGGGCGAAAAGAAGAAGAAGAAAACCCACCCCCAAAACCACCCGTGTCTCTTTAATTATCTGCCACCCCGCGCCCGTTGTTTTTTTCTGTGACATTCGTTTGATATTAGGAATTACGCTCAAAGACGCCGACGTATGTGGGCTGTTGTGATGCCGAGAGAGAGAGAGAGAGAAAGGGGAGCAAATCAGTTGGAAATCGTCCTTATTTCATTCTCTGCTGATGAGCATCTTCTTTTTGTATTGTCATCTTGCCACTCATGCTCACAATCACCTTGTCGTCTCGTGTTCTTTTGCCAATTCTGCTACAAATGCCGCCGCGTTCAGGTGGAATCTGGAGAGTTTCTCCACATTTCTCTGGACTCGGCATTTGTCATACAGGAAAATTGGAATATCTGATTATTCTCAGAATTGTATCGATTTCGTATGTTGAAAGTTTCAAATTACATTGTATTAAATTATAATCATAATTGTTGCTCTCGATTCACAAAAGCCTTTAACGATGCGTCTTTTGCCAACACATGATTATGTGGGAAGTCTTTCGAGCGATGCGACTAATGTATTGATTAAATGTTGAAATTAGGGTTGTTTTTTTTTTGTTCTCTAATTGCTATCATTACCTTTTTTCTCTCTGTGTATACACGACTAAAAACCCATAGAGGCATAAAATTGAAATTGAAATTTCTGCAATGTTTCCTTGTACACGTAATTTCATTCTCTTTCTCCATCACTTTTCAAATTGGAGGGGAAAAGAGAAAAGCATCTGCCAGGAATTTTTTTTAACTGCTTTTAACTGAGATGAATTTGCCTTGATTAAACATTGGCAAAAATGTTATTTACCCTCTTTTTCTTTTTTTTGTGTGTATATTAAGGCAAATTTAATGTGTCGTTATTACTGTTCTTTCTATTTACTCTGCGCCTGTTAAATGCCACTTAATTGACAAACATTCAATTCACTCGATGTGCATTTTTTATGATGATATTATTACTGAACGACTCACAAAATGTTGCAAAATCAACTAACAAAACTCCTCGACTAACAACCAGTGGAAGGAAATCGTAAGTGTGTAATGATATGATTAGCTTTCTTATGCTCACAGTTATTGGGGCATGGTGAATTAATTTCTGCCAACTTTTAATGTAATTGTGCTTTTAATGTGATTCTCTGCATGCGCCGGAATGCCTCAAGGAATGGATATAATGTAGTTTTGCTGTAGAGAGCTTTTCTCTGTGCTTATTGTTTAATTGACCAATTGTGAGGGTGGATAATTTAATTTTCCACCCTCAATTCGCGCACAAGTTCTTCAAGTATTAATGCTTCATTAATTGTTTGGCTTCTTTAATTTTTTCCCCTCCCACTTTTAATCCTTCAGCGGGTTTTTTACGCCTTTGATTTTCACTTCTTAATTTTTCTTCCCACGATGGAAATTTCCCATTTCCACAGGGTGTTTTTTTTCTCTCCTTATCTTTGGGTGGATGAAGAAATAAGAAAAAGAAGAGAATTCAATGAAAGAGTGGGTAAGAGAAGAAAAAAAGAGCGCTGAGAAAGGATGGAAAGTCCTTTTCTCTCTGACCCCCAAAATGACGTCCCGCACCTTTTTTTGGCTGAAAGTTTTCATTGAATGTTCATAGAGTGAAAGCGATGAGAGGCGAAGAAGAAGAAGGAGTTTTGCTGTTCAACATGACTAATCTCTTTTTCACATTTTTCCACCCCCTCCTCGTGCTTTTGCCCCCTTTTTCCGCCCCCAAAACACAGAAACGAAATCGGCTCCAAATACCAACAACAAAGTGGCGCCGCCGGACTCACAGCCTACGATACTCTGGCAGTGTAATTTATAAGATGGTCAAACGGAGGCAGGATCGCGATCGACCGAGGACTTTTTGCCATCACAAGCGAGTCTCTTACGTTCGTAAGTCTTATAATATTTATAATATTGAAAGGAGAAAAACTATATATTCTTTAAATTATGACTCTCGAGAGACACACATAATATTTATACAAAGAAAGAAAGAGAAAAAAAGAAGAAATTTTGGTGCCAAAGAAATTTGCTCCATTTCTCAGTTTTATTTTTTTAATTGTCATAATTCTCTGCCAATGATTTATGATTTATCCTAAGCGTGGAAGAGAGATCGCGATCAAAAAGTTATGATGAGACGAATGAATATGATTTTTTCACAACTATACAACTATAATACAAAAAAACAACAACAACAACTATGGCTAATGCAGAATCTTAAAGTCTCTCTTTGTAATGGATTTTTGTAATTTTTCAGATGAAGAAACACTTTTGTATAATCGATGTGTGAAGGGAAAGCGAGAAGAAATATGATTTTTTCTTTTTCGCTCCAAATTTTTTCTTACTGTAATTGTGTAAATTTATTTTTGAATTTATTTTTGTTACTCCCAGTGACACTTTTCAAAAGTGTGTCGATTTTTTCTCATTGTGCGCGTGCAAGAATTTTTTTTTTGTATATGAAGAATTGACATTGTTCACAGAAGAAGAAAAATAAAACATAGAGAAGGGGTTAGAAAAAGAGGATCTTTTAGTAAAGATCATTTGACTATTTTGTAGAAATTGTAAAGTGGAAAAATAGACAGATATATATATATTTTAGAAGGAATCAATTTTATAGAATATTTTAATTTGCATTTATTTTTCACGGAGAAACACTTGAAGATGCAAAAAGGATGAATTTTATTCAGTTGTTCTATAATTTTTGGAGTATTTATCAAAATTGTCTTCAATATTTGTTTACATAGAATTTTAATGTCTAATTTATATTTTATTGCAAAGATAATTATCTTTAATCACTTAATTTGTGATTTGTGGTATAGTTTGGTGAATTTTATATCAAGTTTTTCAGTGCCACAAATGTGTCAAGTTCATCCTTTTGCTCTCTTCTGAATAGTGAACAGAGTTCCTCAACTTTGCACCGTCGAGTGACACCGCGAAAAAGTCTCTTGTATTATACACCACTTAGGAGAGGATTTTGTGTGTAGACTTTTGTAGAATTGAGTTCGCAGAGTCGCATGGAAAATCATACATAAAAAAAATAGTGAATAATGATAGAGAAACGAGATCTTCCAAAATAGATGAAAAAAAGGGGAGGAAAAACCTCTAGTGGATTTAGTGTCTGCTTTCAGTTGCAAGAGAGATTCTTCCTCATCTTTCCCATGGCATTTTTTTTGTGGTTGGGAGAGAGAAAAAAAAAGAAAGCCCGTGAATTGAAAGTGCGGAGAAATGACGAGGATTGAATGGGTTTATCCTCTATGAAATTCCCTTCTCATTCAGCTTTTAGTCTCTTCTGTTTTGGACAAAAAGGAAAGTGGTTGTGCTTGAAAAAGGGTTGTTGTATAGAAAGAGAGAGAGAGAGAGAAAGAGAGATTCTTATTCCAAAATTTATGTCCACCTTTCAATCTTCCATGGTGTATTTTTTGATAGCTTGAGAAGAGAAATGAGAAAATTCCTAGTCTTCGAAGATGAATGATTTCTCTGCCGATATAGTGATTAATTATATTTTAGCAGTGTGATCTATTATGCATTAGAGAATGTGAACAATGACGAATCTTCACACGCGAGCACAGAATGAGAAAAAATCCCATATAAATTTTGTCTTTAAGATGAGCTTTCTGCGAGTGTTTTTCCCGCAAAAACTGAGAAAAGCAGAATCACTTCAGAGCTCAGGCGAGAGATAAATTATTTGATACATATTGTAATTGAATGTTTGATTGATTGAGAAAATACCATTGTGATATTTTATTTGAATTAATTCTCACTTATCAATTGATTGATGAACGTTTTTTCATGTGCGGTTTTTATATGTAACTAAATGATTTTAGGATTTATTTTGATTTTTTTTTTCAAATTATGATTTTTCCTCTTAAAAAGGCAAAAAAATATAGACATTTAATTAGTGTCCATGATATAATCTTACAGTGGAAGAAGAAGAAGAGAGAAAAATATTGCGTAGATCGCTTAAAAGCATAAAAAATATTACTAAGAGATATAAAATATTTAATAAATAATAAATAACTAATGAGGAAAAGAGAAAATAATTGTGACATTCTATCGTATAAAATGAACTACTAAAATAGAGATGTAGATTTTTATTTTTCTTATTCTCTTCTGTTGATTTTTTTTTCTTGATTTCAAAAAATCGATTTTTTCGTGACTGACGAGAATTTGCTCATTCTAGATGTGCACATGTAGAATGAAATCAAAATTCGCAAATTTCTCTTATGAAATACTTATTTTTTTTTACAAAATCATCTTTTCCGTTTTTTTATTCTTTTTAATCTCTTTGGCAACATAGAATCAAATTTTACATGGAGAATTTATAATGAGAATAAACGTATTTTAATCTATTTGATAGAAGAAAAAGGAATATTTTCAAGAATTTTATTAGGAAGAAGAAAAAAAACAGAAGTTTCTCATAAACAAAAGATAATTTTTTCAGACAAAAATAGATCTTGATGTTTAATTAACGTAAAGAAAAAAAAGTAATAATTCGTTCACTAATTTTGCAAATGGAAACCAAATTAAAGGAAAAATACATAAAAATTACTATTCTATGCATTTATCATAAAGATGAGAATATTGACGGGAGATGAGAAATACTTAGATTTAAAAGAATTTTGAATTACATAACATATATATTACTCTATATATGAATATATAATAATGAAATGAAAATTATCAATCTAATCAATGAAGAGAGTGAAGAGCGAAGTTCGAGCGATTAGGAGAAGAAGAAGAAAAGGAGGAAGGAGAAGTTTTGACGAGGAACGTATAAAATAATCAAATTTTTAACTATCTAATATCGATTGCTAGTATTTGTTGAATGTTGTTAAACTCCAATTGCTAGCTTCAGTGTGACATTTTCTTTGTCTCTTTAGCCAAGACATAAAGACGGCGATAAAATAGAATGAGAGTTCTTTAGGACATAGTGAAGGAGATAAATTGATGAGCAAACATCCCCGCAGAATTGTGTCCCTTTTCCCTCGATGTGTGTTTTGTCTCTTTAGTTGCAGGACGCGCTGGACTGCGAAAGTCAGCCATCCATAATCCCGAGAGATCATTACGCGATTCCTTTTGCCGCCAGAGACACTTTTCTTCTATATCCCAATAAATGCGAAAGGGGAAAATGCTCCCTTTTCTAGTCTAGAGTTTCACAAAGCTCACCTTCGCTCCCAAGTAAAATGCATAATCCCTAAAAATAGAACACATAAAGCGAGTGGAAAATCTCAAAACTATACGATTATATAGCTATATAATACAGCAAAAAAAAAAAAGAATTACATAAATTACACAGAAAAACATTACATAGAAAATATAAACTTGAGCAAGAAAATTCCAATGTTCGATGATATAAAAAAAAATTGATGAAGAAAAAAGTAAACTAATTAAATAGTAGATGTATTTGCTCGCTTATTTTTGTGTAACTTTTGAGGAACAGAAAATGAAAAAAATTTATAGTTGAGAAAAGATGATGATAAGATCCACTAGTTAATCCCAATTAATTATTCTATGTGTAAAACAACCTCATTTTGATATGTTTGCATCAATTTGTTCCACACACTGATAAGTTTCCGCTGATAGCACAAAAAGACGACAACACTCTTGCGAGAGACATGCAGAGAAATCTCTCGTGTTGGAAGGAGTGTTGTTGGAATTCTTCCCCATTTTATTGGCCATGCGCGCGCTATGAGAAGATGAAGAAGAAGAGAAAAAAATGTTGCGTTTTGCCATGAGACGTGAAATTCCTTAGATTTTAGATGCTTTGCCACATTCTCTTTAAGCATTTCAGTGTAATTTTGTATCTACTAATTTTCTAAGTATCTAATTTGTACATTTTTTCACTGATTTTCGAGAATAAAAGCGTTATGTAATAAATTGGAGGTTATGATTTTCCCGCCGTCTGAGCGCCGGTTGGCGAAGTGATGTGAAGTTGACTGAGAATTGGCCATGTTGACTTTCCGGACGTCTAATTTTGTAAACAACACACTTGTGGAGAATGTTTTTCCTCGGATTTTCGCGTCTGGAACTCCACTGAGGTGCTCTCACGTAGTGAATTTAGGTGAATTGTAATCTCTTGTGTGTGCAAAGGGTGTGATCAGTGCGATGGAGAGTGCTGCTTTGGCAGGAAAGTGCAGAGCGTGTAGAATAAAAGTTCAGGGTGATTCGCAAGTTTTCATCTTCGCCTCCACAAATCTGCCGCACATTTTCCAGGAAGCCACATCCCTGCCGGTGAGGATGACGCCCAGTGATTGTCCGGAGGTTGGTGACTTACCCCTGTCTTTGCAGATCCACGAGAATGACGGACTTCCGGGAGTTCTGTGCGCCTCCTGCTACAATCGCCTTCTGGAGACGTACAACTTCCGCAAGATGTGCGCCTCCACGGCTCTGGAGTTCCACCAGATCCTCTCCATGAGCGGTGAGGTGCCCTTCGAGGAGAAGTACATGCCGCCGGAGGGATTGGCGGAGCCCAAGTCAGATGTGGATGACGTGGCGGATTCCAATTCATTTGACTTCCCGCCGGAGAGCAAATTCAATCCCGACGAGTCCGTGGATCCGCTGGCGGGCAATAGGAGGCTGTCAGAGGCGACCAGTGAGGATGCGGATGACGTGCCACTGACCGCACGCAAGGTGGCGAAGAAGCGCGTGCCGAAGACGAGTGTGAAGGATGAGGATGTTGGCGAGGAGGCGGAAGTGAAGGAGGAAAGGTCGTGTTTTGAGTGCGAGCTGTGCAAGCGGCGCTTCCGGAACAAGTTCAGCCTTGAGTCGCACATGCGAAGGGTCCACCAAGGCCTGAAGAAGGGAAATGTGTGTCCGATCTGTGACAAGGCGGTGTGCAATCCGGGCACTCTCAAGTGGCACATGGCGCGGAAGCACGACGTGAAGAGTGAGTTTGGCTGCAATTATCCCGGCTGCTTCAGGCAGTACGAGTGCGAGAAGGCTCTGCTGAAGCACATGCAGCGCTGCCACGATCCGGACAATCCCAAGCCGGAGAAGCAGCCGCCAAAGCAGTCGCCGCCGAAAGAGTCGAAGCCCAAGAATTACACTTGCAAACTGTGCGATAGTGCTTTCATCACGCCAAAGGGTCTGGGCATGCACAGGGCCGTCGTGCACGGCGGCGTGGAACAGGGAGTGGACAACGAGGGCAAACCATTTAAGCTCTATGCGACCAATCGAGGCATCAAGCCGAGTCTCGAGTGCGAAATCTGTGGCCGGAAGTTCTTCAAGAAGCTCGGCCTCGAGTCACACATCAGGCGAATCCATCAGGGAATGAAGAAGGGCACTCTCTGTCCACTGTGCAACAAGGAATACTCGCGGCCAGACTCTCTTAAGTGGCACATGTCGCGCAAGCATGGCGTCAAGTCGCCCTTCACGTGCGATTATCCCGAGTGTTTCCGCGTGTATGAATGCCAGGAATCGCTCACGTATCACATGAGTCGACATCACAACCCGAAGAAGCCCAAACCGCCGCCGAAGAAGCACATTTGCGAAGTGTGCGGCAAGTTCTTCCCATCGTCGGCGGGCCTGAAGAAGCACAGCTACAGCCATTCTGGTCCTGGTGAGTTTATTTTCCTGGATTTCAGCATCGTTTTGTCAAGTGAGAAGGGCGAAAAAAGCTCACTGTGTTCAATAGCAGAACAACTAATTTATGAACAAGTGTTTCTCAAGGGTTTAAAACTGTAGGGGATTGTGGGGCATCATTTCTCTTACAGTGAAGCTTTTAAGCCAAAGTTTCTTTAATTTCATAGATTGATAATGTGCTGTTACTCTATGAAAAATGTGAGTTTGGGGTCGATTTTCATTTTCACCTCTAATTCTTGATTGCTGGGGTGATAATTTTAGCATTTTTTAACATTCTGCCTCACTTACCTTTGATTGAATTCACGATTAGAATCTAAGTGAAGAAGGGAGGAATGGAGTCAGACCAGTTGTTCAAGGTCTGTGTCTTACCTTGACTGATGGATGGCGTTGTCTTGCAGAGAGTCGTCCTTTCGGCTGCTCGATGTGTTCGAAGCGCTTCGTGACGGACCACAAAATGAAGGTGCACATGATGCGCCACGAGGGCATCAAGAATCACGAGTGCACGATTTGTGGCATGCGAAAGGTGACGGCCAGGGAGCTGAAGATCCACATGAACTATCACACGCGCGAGACGGTCTGGCCATGCAAGCTCTGCCCGCTGATTTCCTCCAGCAGAGGTGAGTACGAAAGAAAAGCAAAGAAAGGCAAATTTGTCTGACAGTCATGCTCACGCCATTGCGCCTCTCGCAGAGAACATGAAGCGGCACGTTAAGGTTGTCCATCAGGGCATCAAGTCCTTCCCCTGTCCGCACTGCGAGCGCTCATTCGGCAAGTCGGAGACGCTGAAACACCACGTGATGACGCACACGGGCGAGAAGCCGCACGCGTGCGACGTGTGCGGCAAGCGCTTCATCCAGCCCACGGCGCTGAAGACGCACATGAAGACACACCTGAGGACGAAGTGACCCAGAATATCTCGTGTTGGCTACAAAATATAATTTATTCCCTTCTCTCGCTCTGGTCGCACACATTATTCTTCATTCCAGCACATTGGCGGCGTCTGCAGTTGAATTGGAAAGACGTCTTTTATTCTCTTCTGTACAATTTGTTTTCTTCCTCAACAATTTCTTCAGCATCTCTAGACTTTGTTTTTTTGGTAACATTTATCCCCATATTTACACAAATACACACGAGAGTTTCAATTCCACCAGGGAATTTGGCAACATTTTATCCTAATGCACACAACGTCTTCACCACTATTTTTCTATAATTATTATTGATTGGTTTCATGTCGCGCGCTCACAGAATCTCCTGCACTTCCTCTCGCGCTACATTGCTATGTTTTATATCCTTTTTTTTTACAACAAACATCAATAGGATTCTTTTGTCACACTTCAATGGGTCAAAAAAAAACAGTTTATTTGTATCCTCTAAACTCAGTCACACGCTTATCAGTAGAACTAATTGATTAAGATTGTGTGTAAAAAATAAGAGAAGAGGGAGAAATCAATTTGTGCATCCCTTTTTTTTCAAGTCTCTCTGCAATTGATCAATAAACTAATTTATCATACAATCTACTTTTGCTCCAGTATTTATCTAATTAATTTCGTCTTCATCCTTAACAACTACATAACACACCACTTCTCTGTCGTCTCTCCCTAACACTATTTATCAATTCTACTTAACACTGCCTGTGGAGTTGTTTTTATCTTTTACAGCAAAATATAATATTTGACAACAATTGTTTAATTGGAGAGAAAATTATCCGCTAAATTGCTTCATTTAACATTTGTCATTCTTGCCATCGCGCGCATGAAGAATTGCTGCGACAATGCTAAGGCTATTTTTCCTCTTTTTTTTCCTTCTCTCTAAAACAGTCGCAGAAAAAGATTGATTGAACTGGGATTTCATATGTGTCTTTGCAAGTGGGTGAATAAAGCATAATAAGACCCAAAAAAAATATCAAATATGTTTATTTGCAAGGGGAGAAAAATGCTAAAACTCAATTTTCCGCATGACAGAGAGGCAAAATTGGGAGTGAGTGAGCAAGAGTATTTCCATCAAAGGATATCCTTATTTGATTTCTGGAAAATGCACTATAACTGTCAGTGCTTCGGGCATTTTGCATGAGAAATTCCACAACTGAAATTTCTCCAGCAAATTGCACTTTCACAATAATACGACGATACAATATATCAGAAGTGTATTCTTTACATTTTAACCCTTTGAAGTTGAGAATCTCCGGTAGGAAAACTACTGAAATATGGGGAAATATTTGTAATTACATCGCATCATATCACTTAGAAGTGCAAAACATCTTCTTTTCATGTGAAATGTGGGATTTTATGTATTCTCAAATAGTTTTGAAACCATTTTATGATGTCAAATTAGGCAAAAATGTGATTCAGATATTAAATTACTGAAATATTTCATAGTTATGAAATTATGTTCAAATGAAGTTACTCTTCATCCGGAATTAACTTTATTATTTCTTGGAAATGATGTAAATTTGTGCTAGTTTCGCTAGTTTCCAATTTAATTAGAAATGATAAATATTATAAGATTTCTTTGGAAAGTTAGTCAGATTTAACATCGTCAAAGAAGTCCGGAAAATAACCGAAATTTCCTATATAAATGTTTATGTTTTTCCCTTGCTTTCCGACGTGAAGTGGCCTGAAATGCTGCCTGAATGAGAGGGTTAAGCGATGCCCACTCACTTCCGGGTGAGAATACACACGTGTGACGATAATTATCCCCTTGACATCCCGTGGCCAGGAAGGGTTCGTCCAATCTCCGCATAACTCTGCGGCACTTGATTTAATTTCTCTACAATTGCTTCTAATGTCTTTCGGGGCGTTCCTTGGTGAATTACAGGCCTTCCTTAATGGATTACGAATCGCCACAGTGTTTCGTCTTCGAGGAAAACTATTCACTCAGATGAATTAAAGTCGACAATATTGGATGTTGCGAGAAATGGGAAGAGGAAGAGAAAATTGTGTGCTGAATTATTAAGCGATATTAATTGAATTTTGGGGATTAGTGAATAATTCAAGGACTGAAGCCCAAGTTTTCCTGCCCCCGAGGCGCGCTTCTCGAGACACAATCTCAAGAGCGACGGATGCAATTGAGATTCTCCGCGAGGGAGAAACTTTTCACTCTCCGCCACTTGTCGAAATTTCATTTAAATCAAACTCCCTTTAATATTTTATTTTCTCTATGCTGGCTGTAAAGCTCTCGCCAGGGGATGAGAAGAGGTCAAATAGATGAATATTCCTTCTCTATATAATCGAAAAAGTTCAAAGAAGTCAAAGTAATTCGGAAGAAAGTCATTTCTATTTTTCCACTCACACCAAAATACTTTTTTCTTCTTCTTTCCTTTTGCCCCTCATGAAAGTTGTGGTCGGTTTTTCCTGCTTCTCCAGTGGGAAATTGGGTGGCGCAATAACAAGAGAGAGAGTCTGTGGACAATTTCAAAGCCATGGGGGAAATTGATCCTGGTCTTTGACAATTCTGCACTGGCTGCCAATTAATTTTGCGGGAGTTTAAATCAATAAACCAAAATCCTATCGCCATAATCGCTATTTTCAATTTGGCGCTCAATGGGAAAGAGCCTCGCGGTGAAATGTGCCGCCCATTGATCTCATTCAGCGCACAATTGCAGCCTTGCCCGCACTTTGGGCAGCGAAATCCATTCACAACCCAAGAGGAAGTCAACTTGCGAATTCACAGCGTCAAAACATGTGAATTTTGTAGATGAATTAATAATTGTCTGCACTTCCGTTAATCCGTTGAGAGCTTTTCAAAGATTCTAAATTGTAATCCGTTTAAATACACCAAGAGGCGACCGACTAAATAATGGAGAATTAAAGCAATTTCAATGGTGAATGAATAAATAAATAGAGAGTGAGAAATTTACTCTTGAAACCTTTGCTTAATGGGTATTAAAAAATTAGCAATATTGAGCAAAGTTGGAAATTTTCAAATTCAATGGCTAATTGACAAGAATTAAGTTCTTGTTTTTTTCCTCCTGTTTACGAAGAAAACTGACTAAACACATAAAGAATGGTGGAATATTAAGACAAATTGATCATCGCAAAATGTGCGATTTGGTCCATTTGTTTGCCTCTTGTCCGCATTAGGTGAAAATTGTGGGGAAATTGAATGGCAAACTGTGCCATATTAGATTTGTCTAATCAAAAATGCATTGAAATTGGCTGTAATGATGCCTTTCAAGTGGTTCCAGAGCCACTGAAATCCGTTTGTGCGGCTCAAGAGTGAGGAGATTTGGCCAGAAGAGCTCTTGTCGCCGGGAATCAGGGCTCAGTCGTGTGATTAGTGGCAAAGTGACTCACTGACAATGCGCTTGAGTGAGGGATCAATTGAGGAAAGCCTTCCGACGATGATGCCCTCGAGTGTTCGAGGCTACAAGAAGAAGAAAAATCCATTTTGTATACAATTTTATACCCACACACACACACACGCTGAAGACAAGAAAGCGCACCAACAATGTCGTGTACATTTCCATCTTCCTCGCAAAAATTCAAGATTGACTGGGTGGCGATGGGGGGAAATTCAAAAGTTTCCTTCTGTTAACTCACCCCTCGACGAAGCGCGTCGTCTTCAGGAGGAGAGAGTCTTCATGTCGTGCCAGAGCACAAAGAGTGTCGTCAAATTGAAAGCCCAGACAAGTAGTTTCTGTGGCCAAGAGATCCCGTATAGCCGCAGAAGCCACCCCAAATGTGACGCTTTTCGTGGTTTTTCACCTCCACCCTCAAAAGAGAGAAAAGCCCTCATGGCATCGATTGACGGCAAAATATTCAGGTCGATTTGGTGGGGAGGCGCAAAAAGAAATGATAATAATAACAATAATGGCAATCCTGGGCGAATATCGCATTTGTGGAGATGAAATGAAATACAAATTTTTCTGATTTTTCTTCACCCGCACAGCGAAAAAGGGGAAGAGGGTGGAAAAATGTCTGTTCGGGAGATTGGCAACACTTGTGCCCAAGACACGATGGGAAAATGCCAACGTAATGTCAACCAATTCACAGAGTAAATTATCACATTTATTTTCATCAGGCATTTCCGATCTATTCATACACGATGACGTCATCAGAGCTGATGTTTGTTGAAGATAAAGGATTTATTGAACTTGGAAATTTCCCCGGGGCAAAAGTGTTTCTTAATCAATGAAAGAGTTTCACAATAAGAAACTGTCGTCTAACACGATTGTAGAGCGCTTTTATTGATGAATTCTTAAATCTTAGGCAGTTTTCAAGACGAAATTTGTGATATTTGACTGTAATTCGAATGATTGGGCCTTAAAATCAGTTCAGTTTCAAAAATTAGCAATACAAAAAGGAGCTTTGCATAAGATGTTGAGACATCAAATATTGTTAAGATCAAGATTTTTATCTTGAAATGAAGATATAGAATATCAGTGGACATTTTGATGATGAAACATGAATTTAACATGATATTTATTATTCTTATTTTACCATTTATTTTCTCTGTTAACAATTGGAGTGTCTTTAATCTCACATTTTGCGAGTCCTTGCTTAGAAATTGTGACGTGAATTTCTACACTAATAATCTCTTACATCTTAATCTAGTCCTTAATCTAGATTCTCATGTTAACTGTTCAACTCTGATGGGTGAAATTGATGGTGAGTGATTTTTTCTGTCTGTGGAAACGCAATTTTGCGCCTTTCCCTTCGCTTCACCGCCAATTTCTGATGATTTCCTTAACCATAAAATGCAAAGATGAACCGCGACAGAGTTCGCCTTGTGATGGTGCACATTTTTTTGGTGCATGTAATTCAATGTAAAGAAAAAGAGAAAAGCCTCACGAGACATTTGCAATATTGCGCACGAAGCATGAAGAAAAATGACTTTGGCGTCGTGAGGAATTCCAAACTGCTGATAATTTTCCCCCATGAAATGAGTGGCAAAAAGGAGGATTTTCACTGTCAAATTGAGCTTCGTGCTCGTGCAAGCTCGTTATGTCACTCCTCCCATCCTTGTGCAATTCCTTGGCAATGAGGCACGTTTGTGGGTTTGAGCATCCCATGAAATGTTTACGAAGACGCCTCTCTAGGTCAGTGAAATGCACCTGAAAAATTCCCCAGAGTACACAAATTTTCCCAGCCCGACAAACTTTTCTCTCCACCACTAAATTCCCCTGGAACATTGGGCGTCTGCTAGTGTGCTAAATTGAGAAACTATTCCCTCACTCGGGACTCTGATTATATTGACCACGAAGTAGAAGAACCCGCGTGTGTGTGTGGCTTCAATTTCAGGGCTGCAGCCAATTCTCATCATAAATTCCTTCATTGCCGTTCTGCATTTGAATCATTTCTCTTGCTCTTCCTTCGTTTTTTTTTTTCAAAGTTTGCCACTGAGTTATTGTAGCGCGAGAAATGTGAAAGAGCGAAGAAAAGTGGTGGGAAAAAATTCTACAGCCCCGAATTGAACATTCTATCTGAATTGTGGAGGAAAATATGCACTTCATTTTCCCATCAGAAATGAAACTTTTATTGAAATTTCCACTGCAATTTCCGCCAGAAATGAAACTGCGTCTCGTGAAGTGATAGAAAAGGAAATTCTTTAGGCGTTCTCAAAATTCATACAATATTTTTAAGGGCAATTCAGTGAAAGTATAAAAAAACATGCTAAAATCAAGCATTTTCGCAACTGTCTAGCAAATATTTTGCCCTATCAGCTGAGCTATCAGGTGAATATGTTTGTGTTTTATGCTATTCCAGAGCTGCGATAAAGAGTATTTTTTTGCTCGTATCTAATTTTGAATGACGCCCTCAGAGAGCTTTTGGTCGATGCTATCGACAAAAAGAGCCCTTCAATGTTTGTTGCCTCTTTATGACATAATCTTTTTGCCATGCAATAAAAGATCTGCTTTTTCCGTTGCCAACGCTGAAAATGGCATGGAAAATGTGTACAAATTGCCACCACTTTCGCCCTAAACACACCCTCGCGAATGGTCATAAGGCCGCTGATGAGCGTTGGTTTGTTTGCCCCACAATTGCTGTGCAGTGAAATATCAGAATTTCAGTGTATCTCTCACTTGACCACTTGCGGAATCTTGTTTGCAAAATTATCGCGAGTTAATAAATTGATGCATTTGACCTGTAATTAATTAATGGTATATTGGATTGAGTGATGTGTACGAGGCAACAAGCATTTGCTAAGTTTGCCTGCAGTTAAACTAATATAAATTCAATAGAGCAAATAGAAATTGATCGGGGTCAAAAGGTTACTTAACTTACGATATTTGCACAGCAATTGAATTCACATCCGTCTAATGCAATATCGTGATTGGAAAGATGATAAGTAGAATAGTAATTATAGTTTGTGCGGAATATATTAGACATTATGAGCTTGAGGTCAACGATTTGAGACTGTGTGAAGTGTAAGAAATCATAATTATTGAGAAAATTAATTAAAAGCAATGCTGAAAAAGTACTATTTTAGTAGAAAATTTTGTGAAAAATCTTTAGCGTTGAACTTACGAACATTGGAGTAAAATCACCGAAATAATCTCACCGAATTTTATTTAATTAAAGGGTGGCAATTGAAATAATCACAAATATAACACTAAACAAACACACAAATTAACACAATAAATTGTTTTCACCATTTCTTCTCAAATGAATCTTTACGTTTCCTCTTCAATTTGCATAAACATTAACTTCGGATGAAGTGAAATTGTTATTTTCGCCACGAGCATTCTTCATTGCTACACTTTTTGCGCTTTTTGCATTCAAAAAGCTCTCGAGTGAGCTACCTTGTCTCCTCTAATTGTTGCAAGTTCTGAAACTTTGTTCGACACTCGCCGGGCTTCCGTGGGAGTCTTGAAAGTTTTTCAAGTTTTCCTTTCCGGCTCGAATGATGGCTTTCGATTTTCGAAGGAAATTCCTCCAATTTCACTCTCAATTAGACTTCCTGAGCTCTTCACTTTTGCCATCGGGGCTGGAGAATGTTTCATTTATCTTAACTTGAGTTGCGAGAAGTGGAGAAGGGAAGGAAATCTCATCCGGCAAATTGGTAAATATATCGTCGATTTGGCGCACTTTTGCGCCCATCTCTTAATCACACCTCCAATGTTAAAGGTCAAGAGTATAAATCTTCGGGTGGGAAATTGCGAAAGAATTGCGCTTTGGTGGGCGTGCAGACGCTCCTGAAGTCATTGGCAAATGGACTGAGACATTCAATTCCTCACGATCTGCTCACGTTTCGCTTGGGGAAAATTTAATTATACAACTCTGGGTGGACGACTTTTCCTCCAGAGGATAAAATCTCTCTCACCCTTGAGCGCAATAAATCATACCGACAGCATTGATTGGAAACTAAAACCATCGACATTTTGCATGAATGCGTGCTCGAGAGCTTCCTTCGGCAACATGCAAAGGAAACTTTCTCAATTTTCTCTTCTTCTCCCCCCGCAAAAGAGCCGATAAGCTCAGGAAAGTTTTGTCGCGTCAACAACACACTTTGCAAATGGGAATTTTAGTGTCTCTCTAGGATCTCATGAAAGTTCACAATAATTTTCAATGCACGACGCAGACAAAGTTCTTTCTTCACACAAACTCAATATCTGTGACCTCTTGATGAATTTCCAGGCACTGTGTGATGTGCGAAGGAATGCATCTTGTGGGTTGAGACATAAACAACAGAGCTTTTAAGTGAGTCGTTATTCCATTTGATTGATACTAAACGTGTCTGTTTTGCTCCCATTTAGACTCTATTTTCCCCATATGATCACGTTTTGGACGCCATTCTCTGCGTCTGGTTTTTTTTCTTTTCTTTTTAAACTATCTCACAGCTCCATTTTCCACCCTTTTGCAGACGAACGTAAATACCTCGGAATGTGAATAAAATTGAGATGGATTTTCATTGAATCTTCTCCGCGACTCTCTTTCGTCTCTCATTTTCAACATATATAAAACACCCTCGAGAGATGCACAAAGTGGATAAAAATATTGTGTTGTATTTATCACGTTGGGGAATTTTTCACATTTTCATTCCTCTCCTTTTCATGAGCGCGCCAAGCTTTTCATTATGCGGCCCGCATTTTGCGCGCATTTCCACCATATAAACGAGTGTATTTAGGAGAGAAAAAGAAGAATGCCGGGAAGCTTTTCCTCCCCCGCGCGCGAAGCTCATAAGTATAGAATTTATATCTCGCATTGTTTATCTTCTTTGCATTCTCGCGTGTGGAGAAAGAGATTTTTTTTTTACCACCCTCAAATGCTGGAGATATTTTATAATTTCACTATTCACTTCTTCACATCGCTCATTTATTATTCTTATGCCATCGTTTCTCTAAATGCCGCCCCTCTTTATGCCATTCACTTCTGCTCTGTGTGCGCGCAGAAGGAAAGGGAGAAAGCGAATGAGGAGTGAATGTGTGCGTAAATAACAAGTGGATGATGAAGAGTGGAAGGATATGTTTCCTGAGCTTCTCAAAATGTCCTCATCGCTTTTTGATACACCATCGAAAAATATAACACACATAAATTCACCTCGCACTGGTGATAAATGACGGGCAAAGTTTTCTGGCCACGACCGCACACACTTTGTCATTTTTCATTGCGCTTGTAACTTTGCAGTTTTGGGGTGGGAAAAGAGCCCCAGAGGTTGCTTGAAAAATTGTCAATGAAATATGGGTGAAATGTTGTTATATTTACAGGGGATGAAAGTTTATCTTTTTGCTCAAACTCAAATACAGGGATTTATATAGTTTGCCTTCGAGGGATTACTTCAGTGATATTTGCAATATTTAAAATGAATTTATGAATGTGTCCGGAATATTTGTGGCCAAATCGAAATTTGTAAAAAAAAAATTCGATTTAACTCTGTGACATCAAATGGGACGCATTTGTTCCAAAGTGTGTCAATTTTAACCATAAATTATGGAACTTTTTGACATAATTTGTATCTAAAGATAGTGAGATTTTGATTCCACGACAATCTTCAGTTGCGTTAAATTGCATTTAGGACTTAAGTTGCACGTCTATCATGTGCTTCACACAGTAAAAGGGCGCGCAACATATTGTAATTGCATTCAAAAAGCGATATTTGACAGTCTTGCCGCCCTAATTTGCAAAGTTTCTTGGCACAGACGACAAAATCATCCCTCGCGTCAAACTATCGCGCCTCGGGTGGAATCTAATAATAAAATACACTGTGCAATTTTCAGTTAGAGAGACTCTTAATTAATTTAAATTCATCGAGAGACGTTGAATTTCACAAACTGCGAACTTTATTCGCAGTCTTTGTCATGCAGGGGTGAAAAAAAGGCACACATAAAAGTTTGTCTGCAGCTTTTTCCGCCAAACAATTGGGCAATCATTAATGGGATTTCCATCTTTCACTTGTAGTTCTGGGCAGGATTTATATACCAGGGCAAATAAATTAAATTGTGTGGTGAAAGTATTTCATGTCGAGTTTTTCAGTCAGTGTTATAATTGAAGATTCGAAGGCAAAACGGCGAGGAAACTCTTGAGGATGTTTGGCAATGTAATGCCAAGTTGAATTGGCAAGCAATCAGAAAGTTTTCCTCCAAATTTTCTCAGACTTCCTTAAATTATGATGCAGAGAGATAATAACACAGGCGAGAGTCTCTTATATTAATATGATGGGAGTGTGCTTGGAAGATTGAAAAACTCTGTTTTTTTTTCACTGTATCGAAGAAGAATCCAATGTTAAAAGTATATTTCAATGAAGAGAAAAGAGGTTCTTTTAACACTCTTCAACTCACTTTCTTTTCTTCTCCATCTCCACCATTCCAGGCATTTTTTCCCTCTGTCATGGGCGAGCATTGACGATATTTTTATGTCTATACAAATGGAAAACAGTGGAAGAGATTGCTAAAGTGTGTAACGGGAAATATGTATTTATGTCCTCCGAGCACACTTTGGAAAGTCTCTCTCTTGGAATTTGTGTTTTTTAGGGAAAAATCACACACAAAAAGTTTCGTCTCCTCCTCATCTCATCCTCGCCTTGCCATTACGTTTGATCCTTTTTCCCCCCATTTATTCTTCTTTTCATAAATCTCACCCTCTCTCTCTCTCTCTCTCTCTCTGTCTCTTGCTAGTGAACTTTTCCTCCCTTTCATGCTGGGCTCCATTTTTTTTCACTTCTTTTCTCAGGGAAATTCTGCCATTTGTGTATTTATATATGTTCTCAGTATCATATAAATATTAATGATTGTACTTCACGTAATTTCTTCTTCTTCTCCTGTCGTCTGACGCGAAAGGATTTCGCCACATCTTTATCATGGCTGTTTTTGGGATCTTTTTTTCTTCACTTCTCTTCTACTTCTGTGTGTGTGTGTGTGTCTCATTGGAAAGCCACCCCAAAAAGTAAACTGTGAGAAAATGAGGGAAAAATGAAAATTAAGGATAATCTCTTCAAAGGGATAAATACTTTCACTCTTTCTCTTACTCACTCTTCCTCTCGGCGTGTCTCCTGCCGAAGGAAATACCTTCGATGGCTGTGTTAACACACGCTGAAATCCCCTTTCATTTGCCTATCTCCGCACAAAAAGCACCTTTTGCACCAGAGTGAAAGATTGCGAAAAGAGTCTTTTGGTTGAATTGAAAATACACGCGCACGCCTCAAATGTTCAAAGTAATTTACGTAATTTGCACCTTTTTTGCGCCCAGTAAACACTCAAATGCAAATTCAACATTTAATCATTCTCCTAACAATAAATTTCACTCTCGCATTTAAATAGGTTTTAACATGATCATTTTCTATAAATATAAAATATTCTCTCTCTCTCTCTCTTCGTGTAAATATGGTATTGTGATGAAAATGAAGAGTTTTTTTTTCATTCCTTTGACATTCCTTGGCTAAAATACTCCCTCTCTAAATGTATCTCCTTTTTTTTCTTGCTACTCACATTCGCACATATTATGGAAGATTGGTTTTCAATAAAAGTCGATTCTCTCACACATTTTTGCGCGCATTATTTATTACATATTTTCTGCGAACAGCTCTCTTTCTCTCTAAATATTAAATAAATCTCCGCTCATATCCTATATTTTCCTGTGTATTTTGAGCTTTGCTGTCTGCTTTTTTTTCTCCTTCTTCTTCTGGTGTGTGTTGGCAATATTTCATGATGGATGACTTGTGAGTGTTTATTTCACGCTTAACTTTCTTGTTATTGTTCCACGTGGTCATATCATATCATTCTTTCCACCATCGCCCATTGACTTGTAAATAAATTCCACCCCTTTTTTTCTAATAATAACAACACCTCAGAGTGTGTATCAATTACCCAAATAATTTCCCATTGAGTGGATTATTTGGTGTGTGTGTGTGTGTGTGTGTTTGTCTGTGCACATTAATTAATTAACTCCTTTTCTCACTTCCTGCTTTTCTCACGGTATTTTTCCGCCTCTGCACCAATCACTCTCTCCTTCTTGATTGTTTGCTCTCGCTGAGCATTGCACACAAACCATTAATATTCTCGGCTATTTTCCTATTGATTACTTTCGCAAATTCATCGACTTTTGCAAAGATTTCCACTTAACCGAACAACAGTGCACTTGAGAATTATTGAGACGCGATACTCAGAGGAAACTTGTAGGGAAATATTTCCCATTAATAACCCATTTTATGCGTCTGAAAGCTCAACTGACTCTACTTCATTTGATAACGTTGATTTGCATGAATTTTTTCCTCTGTACGCGATCTCAGAGTAAATCTCCCTCAGAATCACTCTTTGCGCCTTTAGCGGTGCCTAAACTCACGGCCCGCACTGTAAGTGGGTGTTGCGGAGAAAAAGGATGATTCCTTCGAGAAGGTGTCGAGAAGGGTGCCAATTTCCTCAGCTTGTATTCTCTTTTATCATGTCAGTTCTTTCTGGAGGACACTCAATGTGTTGGTCGTTGGGAGAGAGAAAGGATTTCGATTAAATTCGTTGTGTGGAGGGATTTCTAAGGGGTGTTTGGCGGGGGTGCTTTGTTGTGTCCACACATGGATGGGGGGGGGGGGGAGGTGGGTGGGAGGATCTTGTGCTATTTACCGTCTCAGTCCCATGTGGCGACTCCGCAGCCGGTGACTCTTGCGCCTGCACAGGAGTCTCTTGAAGGCCTGCCGGAACTCTGGCGAGAAGATGGTGTAGATGATAGGGTTGAGCGTGCTGTTGAAGTAGCCCAGCCACAGGAAGATGCTCATCACGATGGGCGAGATGTCGCACGAGGCACAGACTGGAATGAGCACGGCGAGGATGAAAAACGGTAGCCAGCAACAGACGAAGGCGCCTGTGATGATGGCCAGTGTTTTTGCAGCCTTCCGTTCCCGCTTCGAGTCTGTCGAGTTGTGGTGCTTCCGGCGCGTGATGGTCGTCCGGATGGTGGGCGTCGCCGATGTGGCGGGATAAGCCACGGACAGGTCCACGGTGGTGGATTCTGGCTCCACGGCGGGCGGCTTTTCCTTCTCCACGCCGTTGTTGCACGTCTTCTCGGGACTCGTGTTGGTGGACGAGACATTCGTGAAGGCCGTGGTCGTCTCGCTGATGGTCGGCAGCGGCCGTCCGATCACAGTCACCACGGCCGCCGCCACGCCAGCGCTGCCGCCCGCCGCCGTGGCGATCATGCCGCACGGCTGGGCCTGAGCGCCGCTCACCTGCGAACACAAATACACGCGCGTTAGAGTTGCAAAAGCGTCTTCGGCATTCTTCCGTCTGTAGGAATTTTTTTTTCCACCTTACACGTGCCCTCGGAATTCCTCGCCAAGCATCTCCAGTCTCATGCGTGACGGAAAAAAGGGATTTGGCCCCATTAGGTGATCTCTGGGCATTGCAAATCCCACCAAGACATCCGGAAAACAGAGAGGCTTGACGATGGAATCCATGGGCGGACTTTAAAGCAGGTGAATAGTAAAAGTTGCTCCATTTAGTACATCCGAAAAAGGCATTCAAGTCTCACAAGAGTATTTACAATGTTACAAAGTACTTTTGGTTGCAACTTCAAGAAAATTATTTAGAGTTTCGTCAGGGGAAATTAGAAGGGAGAATAGAATTGTTAGAGAAAATGAGAATTATATACAATATTTACATATTTTCCTGATGGAATATCGTCCAAATGATATCTTCTGATTCCTTTTTTTGCAAAATTCCGCCATTTCACTTGCAACTCCATTAGCAGAAGTAGCAGAAATAAAAATTCCAGGCCCAGAAAGGGATTTTCCCGGAAGGAAATTTACTCTCTATTGAGTCTTGGTGACTTCTGTGGAGGTGGAGTTGTTTTAGTGCGCTACCGAAGGTGGTAAAAGTAGCATTTTACGGCTAAAATGTGCCTAGAATGCCGCCCTCTCGGCTCCCCTTTCGCCAGAGCCGACAAATAAACAAAGGCGAGCCAGAGGGATTCTGGGCGCTGGCGAGGAGAGTGAAAATTATACGGTCGTAAGACTTTCTCATGCGGAAGAGCAACGATGCCCGCCCAGGATGTAAATGGGGTGGATACGATGGAAAAAAAAGTATCACGTACGCGTAATATGCGCCGCAATGGGGCTCGATGATGTCAGGCGGAGCAGGGGGCGCAGCAGTGAAGATGTTCTACATGCAGAGGCAGTAAATCTTTCGCGCGCGGTGAACCTCAAGGAGATGATGGAGTTGCACACAGGATTCATGGGCGAGAAGTCTCTTTTCTGGCCAGGACTCGTCCTCCCCTGGCGAGTGGAGGATTCGTCGCCACAAGAGTCCTTCTGGCGGCTCTCGAGTCAATGTATGGAGTGGGTTCGGGCGTGCGAGTGGAAGATACCATGAGAAATGAGATGCGTGCTGAGGGTGGGATTTGCCAGGGATGTTTGTTTTCTCAGGCAACACAGCAGTGGCAATTCCGTCGGTGCGTCGCATCCCAAAACCCAAGGAGTCTCGCCACCCGCCCAACCCCTTCCGAAGGGGATGTCTCGTGCAAATATGCCAGCAAGAGGGAAATATTGCGCACGGAAATTGTGCACAAAGGCGTCTTTCTTGAGCAAAATAACGTAGCTTTTTGACCTCATTTGTGAGCCCAAAACAGCCATTTTAGGCCTCATTGTTAAGTCATAGCAGATCATCAAATTATATTTGTGCTACTTCTCAAAAACAACATGGGGAGGAATTTCAAAGATCTCTAGTTCTACAGCGACATTTTGTGTATGAACTAATCACTTTACAATTGCGGGTTTTGACTGTTTGCGCCAAATTCCACCACTTTATGTTGATAATATCCAGAAATGACAAGAGATTTAGCATACAATTGCTAAAATTTCACTTTATCGTTTTCGCTTCAGGGATCCAAATTGTATTATTTCCCCCTTGTATTTCACCACACACACACACACATACACAGTCAGGCTGACTTCTTGAGTGCTTCTGCTGGTCCCTTCGTTATTGTTTTCCTCTTGGTTTGCACAGGACGCAGAAACATCATCACTTATGCCAGTCTATTATTGTGAGATCTTTCGGTATTCAGCGCGCTGAACTGCCGGCAATCCATCGATTGTGTGCTACTTTTGGGGGGAAATTTCCACACGCCATCCCTCATGATTGGGTCTCAATTTCTAAGACAGAGCTGGCACGTTATCCGAAATGGCATTGTATGGTAATTTGGGAAAGTGATCCTCATTTTCCTCGCTGCCCAAAAATATTCCTCATGTGAAACAATCTATTTCTGGCAGCATTATATTTTTCCCTCATCTTGGCGAAGGCGCCTAATAAAAAAAATCTCCTAATTTAATTCAATTTCTCGGAAAATTGAATTTCATTCGATGTAAATCACTTGCTGCTCTCTCTCTCTCACTGTTGGCGCTCCTTCTTAAGGAATTTCCCTTCATTTTCCCCATTTTCCCCGAAATGTTAATTTAGAAGTAGGGACGCGCGCTAACGACAAAGTGATTTTCCCATCAATCGAGATTTTTCGTCAATGAAGGCGGTTTTTTTTCTCGTGCAGTAATGAATGAGAATTATTATGTAAGGTCTGGCCAAAGTCTTGCGCAACCTGTGCGACTTTAGAGCGCCTTGAGATAGGATTAAAGTGCTGAGAAATTGAACTTGGACAGCCTGTGCTGTCTTTATTGTCTATCCTAAACGTCCTAAATATAAATTCCCCTTCCTCTAATGTCCAACACTCAATGAATGTCTCTCATGCTTGGAAAAACTTGAAGATTTTATTGCGAATTTGGCAATTTTCAGTGTTTATCCACTCCTCCGTCTTATCATGTTGAATCTTTTTGGAGTGGTGGGAAGAAGAAAAAAAATTGCATTGTGATTTCTCTGTGATTTGTTGGCACGATAAGAGTGCGGAGAAATCCTTCTCCATCTTCAGCCGTAGAAGAATCAAAATGCCAATGTTCTGCACTCACATACTTGATTTTGTCTGGGATTGTGAGGTAATTTAGAGAAGTTGTTGAGGAAAGTTTTCCTCAATGGCAACTTTTTCTTTCCTCCCCATCAATTCGAAGAGTTGCTGATGTTTGAAACATGAAGAAAAAAGGGCAACAATCGAGAACAAATTCCTCTGCAACAGCGAGCAATTCACCGCATGTCTCGCCTTGACCCTTCCAATGATCCCGTGTACGCACTTTGGGGAGCTATTTTTGAATTTCTACAACCACAGCGTGAAGTGATGAAATGGATAAGGAGTGGAAAATATTTTTTTCCCTATTCTCTCTCTCTCCCACCCCAAAAACAACCCTGTGTGAACGCTCATGAGCGACAAACGACGTCAGGCCCTGTTTCCCATTTGCCAATGTTTTATTCAAACTTTCAACTTTCTCATTGTTGTGTTTATTCACCTCTTCTTGGCGGGCTTTTTTTCCTCTGTCGCCCTCATACTCTCTTATCTTTTCACGGCTTCTCTGTAAGCTCTCTCTCTCTCTCTCTCTCTCACTCGCTCAACCCCCTTTTTGTCTCTATACTTTTCGCTTCCTCGCTGGGAAATTGTATTATTGCTTATACCTTTTGCCATATCCACTCTCACAACGCTGAGACGCGGTGGCCTCTGGGAAGTTGCAAGGAGAATAGCTTGACGAGATGGATTGTATTGTTATGCTATATTTGTACTTGAGGCTCCTCTCATCTGGGAGCCACTTTATCAACCCCGCCCTCGATATTTTTCACCCTCACACTTCCCGCCGCAATAGCAACAAAACAGCAATTTATAGAAATTGGATTACATTATTGACTGTGTGCTCGGGGAGAGAGCATGGGATTTAAAAGTGAATTCTCCCCTGTTCGCATTATCATTTCCCTCAGGCGCGTTTTGTGCACATCGCGTGCGCTTCACCGCAAAAACGAACGTAAAAAATTATATCTATGCTCCCTTTTTTAATTCATTGGCGCAGTGAAAAAGCATATGTTTATTTTTGCACACCCTTCTGAAGTGGAAAATAAATGTGTGCTTTTGGCCACTCACACCCTGTGCTGTGGATATTAATTTTTTTTGCCCCCAATTGGAGGGAGAAAAAGCTCTCGCGCTTGGACAAAGTGTGGAAAAATTATATTAGGCATTAAATTCACAAAGAGGACAATTTGGTGGCAGAAATTTATGATCATCCTCCAGTAAGGAGTGTACTTAAGGGTTTAATAAGACACACAGAGTTGGCGTGGAGAAAGTGAGTTTTTTATGTACTCTTTCATAATTTTGAAATTGTCGTATAAAAGAAAACTGTCGGAGGAACGGAAGCCACGCCCACGTGAAAGCCCCACCCAAAGGCATCAATCTGATTGAATATCTCATCTTAACTGCTTACTTTCTCAAGATTCTGCTTCTGATCAGCTCAAGCTTGTCCCGTAGAGATTCAATATCCCCCTAAACCGCTCATCTCTCACGATATTCACCCTCAAAGTGCGCGTCCCACATAAAGCCGTCATGGAGGACACTTGAAAGTGGGTGGCAATGAGTATCAAACTCCTTTTGGCGTGTGACAATTGGTGTGGGGCAAATGTATGACGGAAAATCCGTTCAAGAATGCCTTGTACCAGGGATTTACGTGAAAATTTTCTCAGTTTATGCCAGTTTCGGTGAGCTACAATCCCCAAGAATGAGGCCGACGAGGAGATATCATGGGTGAATTGAGTGTAGAAGTGAAATATTATTGTGAACAGGGGCTTCACACCCCCCGAAAATCCCTCACGAGCAATTTTATGGGTTGACAGAGTGTGGCTGGGGATACACATACACATTGTAAGCATAGAGGATCCAACACAATGGAAAGTGATGGCTAGACGGTGGAAATTTTCCGTCGCTCTCATCGCAATGGGATTTAAATTGTCTCCAAAATCGAAATAAGATTATGAGATTCTGTGGCAACATGGAAAATTACAAGCCCTGGGTTTTTCATCCTCATCCCCCTTTTCTCATTTCCCATCAGTTTTGTGCGCTTCTTAATTAGGAATACATGAACACACAAACACAATGAGAGAGGCTGATGAGAAGACATTCATGGGAATTTTCTTCATTTTCTCTCCCATAAACAATTCTCATGAAATGATGGGAAAGGAGGGGGTGTGGGATTCTCCACCGGGCGGCAAATGGAAAAAGATGAAAGGTAAGAGTGGAAAATCGGTAGAATTTTCCATCCTATTTCATTCAATCCTTTTCCCCAACGTCTCTGGGAAATCCATCTGACTGTATAATGTGCAAATTCATTTGTGAAGGCATCCACTGAGGTGAATGTGGCAAAATAATAAATTTTAAATCCCACACACATTCACAAACCATTTTCCAAAATCATCCCCAAAGCGTCTGTGGCTCGGCAACAAGCAAAGGCCACCCGCATGTCAACCGTCTTTGGGGTGGATTTTGCAATATTAATCTTCTTCTGCTCAATTGAATCAATCAAAATCATTTCAAATCACAAAACCTTCCCATCAACAGCACACACACACAAGTCCTTCGCCCCTAAATGCAGAAGCGGCGAATGCTACAAGAAAATCCATTTTTCCCATAGCTTTTTCGCCCGGCGAGAGGGATGGATAAAAAAAAAGCCCGAGGAGAAGAAGTGTGGAAAAAAGTGGATGAAAAAGTAATTCCCAAACCGCACAGTGAAATGCTATAAATGGAAAGATGATTATTTAGGTCAGTTACATCCCAGCCGAGCATAAGCCACAAAATATGTAACGAGGGAGTGAAATTGACACACAATTGGGAGCTTTTTGCCGTGTATTTTTTTGCCCTAGACATGATATTTCACGAGCTTTTTTCTCTCATGTCAACATGCGCGAGATAAACTGTGTGAAGCGCAGCTTTTTCCAATACATTTTAATAAATTTCTCCCGAAGTTACTTTGCTGGCGGATTTAATTTGCAGAATATGTGAAAGTGGCACTAAAAATATTAAACTGCATCCGTCAGAATTTATATCTCGCATGATTGAATCATCAGCATGTTAAAAATTGAAATTTATTCAAAAAAAAAAAGCTCTTCGGTGGCAGATTACAATTAATTTTAGATGGGAATTTTAACTCGATCAAATGAATTGAATTCAAGTCTTTCGGACACTTTAATGGAAGTTTTCCTATTATTTCAATTTCCCACCCTGACAAGGATGTGAAAGTTATGTAAATTAGTTTATGTGCTTCTGAGAAGGGTGGAAAACATGTGGCAAATTTTTCCATCTCACTGAATTTTTCCACTGTTTGACGAGCAGTTTTCTCGTTTTGTACCACGTGCCGAAATATACGCACAGCATTCAATTAAATACACATAATATCGATTTGTGTGCACAGCAAAACGCGCTTATTTCTGCTTGAGTTTAACGACAAAAAAGGCACATAATAGCCGAAATTGGCGCTCCGACGAAAGCTGCTGCCCAGGAATTTAGAAAACCAAAATATCCCACACATCGTGGAGCCCATATGGGGGAATTTTGCGTCCCAAAATTGAAAATACACACCAAATGGGGCGTGTGGAAGTCCGGGAGGGTGTTTCGGGGGTGGGAGAATGGCATGGAAAATTCAAAGCTCGGGGTCTTGTGTGCAGCGCGCGTCTGCCTCGAGGCGGACGAAGCCTTGTATTCAATATTTAACGTAGTTCGGTTCCTCAACTATGAATAATCAATGTGACAGCACGAACTTTTTTCCACCATGTGTACAAACAAAGCCCCCTCGTGCCTAAGAAAACTATACACGCCTTTGTCATGGTGGAATGTTGCATGGTTAATTCCTCGTCGGGCTTTGTTTTTCTTTCTCACCCACCCAGCTTTAATGGGTCTGGAAGCCCTTTTCACGGTGAATAAATCTTTCAAGGGATACTTCCGGTCAATGGCCATACTTTGCGCGTCGTGCTCACATTTTCCACCCGCTAAATTAAGTTGTGAGAGGCAAATTTGTGTGTAATATTGAGAAAATCACGATTTCCTTTTGTTTTTTTCTTTTTTCATCAGTCAGAACAACATTTTTCCTGGTCTCGCCATTCAAGGTGAAAGAAGGAAACCTTTCCAATTTACCTAACTTCCTATTCAAACTACATGTAAAGTATGAAGACATACAAAGAGCCATTGTACGGCGGAGACTTAAATGAAATCACGACCGTGAGAGTGAAAAAAAAGCTCAATAAAGCTCTCTAGTATGAAAAGCGTGGCAGTTTATTTTTTGCCTACGCTCTCTGAACGCCATTTATCAAACAAAAAAAGGCAACGCGAAGCGTATTATTAAATATTTACGCACAGAAATTAATAAATATTGCAGTGAGCATGCAAAATCGAAAGCTTCTCCGCGCGTCGCTGAAATTTTTGGCATTTTGCAATTTCATTCTTCCTTCTCCATCAAATCCTTCCGCACACACACACACACATTTCCTGCGGCACTCTCGGCAAATTCTTCACTATTAGCTGTGCAAATAATCATGATTATTTGCACAAGGAAGACCGAAAGTGGGCAGAAAAAAGAATTAACATCACAGTTCTTGTAATTTTAGTCTCCTCGCTTTAATTTAACCCTCATTCTGGGGGTGGTTTTTTTTCCTCCTGCGCTCGCCTTTCATGCTGAAATCGGTAAATCACAGGCCTCTGACCTCCTTCTCGGCTTTTTGCGGTTAAACTCCGCACACCGCCCACATTAATTTCCCCAAACTCTAGCCCGCCGTTTAGCCTGTCTCTCCGGGCTGCAATCAGTGGCGTAGGCTTCATGTCTTGAGCTTCTTGGCATGAGTTTCTGCAAGTGTGTCTTGAAATTCAATCACTTTGAAGTGTTTGAGGCTCAATTTTTTTAAGTGAAGCACCAAAACACTTAGAAATTATCGAATTACTTGCTGACTGTAATTTAGACCAATTATTTTACCCAAAATATTAAAATTTTACTGCAGTAAATTAATTTTTCAATGTGTTTTGTGTTAAAACTTCCATGGGAAGAGAAGTAATGAAAACCGCACTTGTAAACAATTGTTGTAACAGTTTGAGATGTGTTTGAAAAGTACTCATTTCACCTCCAATTTGAGTGCTTCTTTGAGCTTTAAGTTTCGGCGCTACGCCACTGTTGACTGATGGCTTTAATGCACAATTGCCGGGCTTAATTAGTATATTCATAGGGAATTTCCAGCGCCGGCGACGTGAGGCCAGGAGACGCACTGATCACATGCAACGGGAGAATTAGTGGGGAAGAAAGACAAAGAGCGCTGCCAGGTGGATTGAGGGATGATGATCGTGGCGATTGTGTGCTGAATAGCAATAAGAAAGGTGCGACTGTACAAGGAGGCGCACAGGAAAAAGGGCAGCTGAGAGAGAGAAAGAGCGTGACGCGCGCGGGGTGGGAAATTAGGGAAAATTGGAGTCATGACATAGGGGGGAGTGAGAGGGTGGCGCGCCACAGAAAAGAGCACAGAGAATTGTAAGACAGTCGGAGGCTCGCACGATAAAGCCGGAGGAGGAAGGTTAATTATCCAAAATAATTTAGTGTAGTGCGTCACAACATAAAGTACCTGACGTGTTTTCTCTCTCTTCATCTCTCTTCTACGCTTTTTCATGTGGCCCGGTGTTTTTCGTCTAACTAAGCGATAGTATAAATTCACCTGTTGTCGCCGACGGATTCGCTTGCGCGCCGTCTGAAAAATGCGCCAATACAGCACGAGGATGACAAGGAGTGGCAGATAGAAGCTGGACGCCGTGGCGAACAATTGATAGCCCACGTCCTGCGACACCATGCACTTCAGGTCAATGTTGAGTCTATTGCTCCACTCGGGATCCTTCCAGCCCAGCAGCGGCGCCACCGACACGAGGAACGACAGCGTCCACACCACAAGAATCATCACGCCGATGCGTCGCGCCGTGCGCTGATGGGCATAATCTATGTCAGTCACAGCCCAGTATCTGCAAGTGGAGAACCAGAGAGCTTCACAAAATGCCCTTCAACCGCATATCACATGATTACACTCGCGGAAATCACCACTTAAGCCCACCCACTCGAGCCTCATCCGGCTCCAGGCTGAGCCTGCGATCCTTCCTGCTCACTCGCCCCACTTCCCATCGCATTTATGCGAATTGGCGGAAAATTGTAAGACACGGCAAAAGTTTGTTCAGCCCTCGAGAACTTCACCTTTGACCTTCTAGCACGGAATTTGACTCGAAGAGTCTGCTTCGAATCATTGCCAAGGCGATTGAGCTGTGGCTCGTGTCACGATTTAAATTGAGGACTAAACTCAAAGGAGATTGTGATCTATTTGCCCAACGAATGATTAACAAATGTAAGAAAAAAAAGATTAAAAAATAGGTAAATTTTTCTTTCTAGCAATAATGTGACTTATTGAATATTTATCACAATTTAAACAATTTCAAATGCATTTAATATGCATTAGAATAACGTGAATCTTTCAGTTAAAAGGATAAGTTTTGTACTTTACTGAAAAGTTCGCAATATTTACTAGGACAGGATCAAAGATCCAAGGATGCAAAAGTTGTGTCTTGTTTTCTCTGCATTCGACAGAAAGGATCTTAATTAATATATTTTCAGGTCATATTTACATAGATGAAGTTTTCGCAAGAACACCCAAAACACTATCCAACTAACGAGCAGAAAATAAATGTTTAATTAAAACTGCACTCTTAGATACAAAATTCGAGACTTTTGATGAAGTTTCTCACTCATGCGAAAGTCTTATGATAAAAGACAATATTTGCTCTATTTCCGAGCGTATTTTCTGGAAAATACACCTCGCCCACCATTATCACGACATCCTGTTGCGATGATAGTTTTCCTCTTGGCAATATGTTCAGCAAATCACTGACACACAAGTCGTTAACCCATGAATTGATTACTCGCGGTGTGTTTCTGGGAATTCTATTTAACATATTTGTTATCATCCACGCGAAAATCCATGCTTTATGGCAACAGTGTGTCAGGCGCGGGAAAAATGGCTGCGGAGGGTGGGAAAATTTTCATATAGATGGGCTGAGACACACAGAAGTCCATCAATCAATCAATCTCACCATCAATCATTCGCTATATTGCCGCGTGTTTTCGCGCGCGCGGAAATGGGGAGTCGCAAAGGGAGGAAGAAGAAGAGCTCTTTTCTCACCTGTCCAAAGCTATTGCCACCAAGTGGAGAATCGATGCCGTGCAGCAGAGAACATCGCTCGATGTCCACATATCACAGAGTTCGGCGCCCAGGCGCCACTCCTGGGACACCTCGTACACAGCGCTGAGCGGCATGACCAGGCACGCCACCAGCAGGTCCGCCACGGCCAGCGACAGGATCAGGTAGTTGGCCACGCTCTGCAGATTGCGCTCCAGCAGGATGGCGGCAATCACGAAGACATTCCCTGCGAAGTCAGGCGGAAAAGATGCGATGTTTAGTTAAATTTAGTACACATCAAGCATTGTGAATAATTAATCGAGGGCCCCTCGCGTTGGGCGTCCCACAAATCACAGCCCGTGCAAAATATATAAAGGTTCATTTGCCTCGCATTTCTAATTTGGTAGCTATTTTCCTAATCAATTCTCGTCGCGTTAATCCTCCCGCTTTAATCTTTCACACGAATTGAGAGAGTGGAAAGTTTACACGCGTGAAAGGACGATTGCGCGAAAAGAGAGGAACGCGTACAAATTACCAACATGGCAAATAGATGAATAATCTGTTCCACTTTCATCTCTCTCTCTCTCTGTTAATGGCAAAAAGCCATGTGGAAAAAGAGTGAAATTTATCTCTGACACATCAAATTGCTTTTCCCTCTTCGGCACTCTCTCACAACCAAAATTCCACCCTCAATCGATTATACCAACTGAAGATCTGTGTGAGTGTTGAGAAAATGTAAATTGTGGTTTTCCATTTCGGATATTTTCAATTGATAAACCTCGCCCTCCACAACCCCAAATTGTGGCACTAAATTATCCGCCTGGTTACCCTCGATGGTGACGCGTGAATCCCTTTCGAGATTAACATCTAAATATTGTAGTACTTCACTGGATTTCCATCTACATAATCAAGTCATATCTATGCCTTTTCCCTACTCACTCTCTTGGCTTTCCCACGCGAAAAATAATACACACCGCATAAAGCGCGGAAAAGGCATTATGGCAGAAAATATGGAATGCGTTTTCCAATAAAATATCATCACAGATAAAAGGAAAATACATATATTGATTTCGCCACACTCAAAATAGAAATCAGAAAGCAATTCTTTCCCACATGCCGCCAAGACCCTGACCAAGGGCAAGATATTGAGGGTGGAAGTGGTGTACAGCTCAGGGGAAGTCTTAAGACAAGTCTTAGGCATTTCTTACACCAATATATTACTGAGATTAGAGTATAATAGGCTATAAATTAATGCACAAATTCAAGAAAAGTGCTAAAGAAAGATGAAGACTGGCATAAAGATGTACAGATTTCAGCCATATTATCTGCCCCTTGTCCTTGACTTTCACAATTCCTCATGCAATTGTCTTTGGTAAATTTGTGTCTTCTGCTGTGCCTCAAGGTGGATTTCCATGTCTAAGAGGCACATGATTGACATGCAAATTGCCTAACATTCACCTCTGGTTATCGATTTGGTGAAAAGAAAGTGCTTTAAATAAATTTCCACACCTTTCCCTCTCCTTAACCCTCTCAGTCATCTTTCAAATTAAATTTCAGATCATGTCTCTTCCCGAGACGCTCCTTCAAGCATTTAATTCACTTTGCAGCACTCTCAGCTTTAACGGTCGAATCCGGCCGAAAGAACATCGACAACTTTAAATGCTTCTCCCATGTGGCCTAATGAAGCATCAGCCGATGAGGGGGTGGGCGAACCGCCCCAGAGCGGACGATATATTGAAAAAAATAGAGCACACAGACAGGCAGAGATGAAAAAAGGAACAATGTTTTATACAGTGAGTGTCGTCATAAAAAAAGGGACATAAATCTCTTGGGGGAGCTTTTTCTGGTTCTCCCCTGGATTTCGTCTCCTCTCTCGTGTGGCATACCTCTTGACATTCACCCTCAATTGTGAGGGAGGATTTGTAACTTCTCCGTTTTATTATTTGCAAATTTATTGGAAAGTCAATGACATAATTTCTTTATTGGTAGACGCTCGTCGAGCGTCCTCGAGTGGGTGAAGGAAATTGGGGAGCTTTCCATTGGCGTAGGCCTGAGATATTAAAGCTCCACTTTTGCGAGAGAATGATTTTGGAATGTGAAGGTTTATTGAGAATTCTTGGAAAAATGTCGCTGTATTAACACAACATTTTGGAATGAATTCTTTTGAGTTCGATCGAGCTTGATTCATCTAAAAAATGTTTATGAACAGGACTTGTGAGTTGGTAGTTTTCTGAATGATTGAATATGACTCAGAGAATTAACATTTTACACACGATCTATTTAAGACGTTAATAAGGCTTAACAGAGATTTCCTTCCAAGACAATTGCCAGCAGTTCACTTAATGTCACGACTTCTGAGGTGCTTTCTGTGCCTTAAGCGACCTTTTCTAAAACTCTCAGAAGAAATTCTTGTCCTATTTCATTGCGGATAATCCAGGCGATTAGCTCTAGAGCATGTTAATGCAGTGTTTGAGAAAGAAAAATGACTAGCAATTACAAATTCTGTATGGAAAACCGACAATAAAGCGAATGCTTCACAATCCAGTCTTAACATTAAAGTTTCATATTTGGTAATGCTCGGCATTTTGTTAAATATTTTTTTAATAAAACCACCGCTGTAGTTTTTATTGGCTGATTTTCAGCGCAATATCAATTTGCAACAACTTTGTTGTGGGCAAAAACAACCCATGCTATATTGGAAAATTAATCAAAGAGCTTGTAAAATGAGTAATTCTCAAATTAAAAATTGTGTTTTGTGGTTTTGTGTAATTTTATCACAATTAATATATTATGGTTTATTACAAAAGTCCGGAAATCAGCGCTCAATAACCATTATTATATCGATTATATAGCGAAGAAATAATGTGTGACGATAATAATTCTAAACAGGCACTAGAGAATTGATGTGCTAATTGTCATTATGAGGAATTGCTCAATAAAGAGCTCAAATCGATGTCCATTTTCTCGCTATGCTTATGTTTATTACCTTCTTTATCCCCTTGTCGCATAGACAACTTTACTTTCTGCCCTCTGGAATGGACACTCATGCTCGCAAGCTTGTACTATATTTGCAGACTTTCAAAATTTATAGGAGTTGCGATGGGAGCGAAGCAATCTGCATGATTACTCTCCGTGCGAGTGAGTCTAATGAGAGCAACTTGCGAAATGAATATGTTTCATAAACTTTAGCTTAACATGACGCTACACAATGAAAGTATGACAGAAATTTCCAAAATTAATACTGCAATGTGTCTGCAAAAAGTCAAATGTGAGCCTCAGCGAGGAGAGAAGGAGCTTTGCTAGATGAAACTTTTCCACCCCGACAAATATTTATTTGCATAAGTAAATTATGTACAATCTTTCGAAGTGAAATGTTACACTTGCATCGCCGCGGTTTTTTCTTCTCTCTCTCTCTCTCGCTCTTCTTCGAGCGTCTGTCACTTTTCCAACTGTGTCTCTTGGTGGAAATTCTATTTGTCGGCGCGCCGCTGCAGCTGAAGGAGTGAGGAAAAAGGTGACGAATTGAGCATTTTAATCCCTCAAGGGATTTTCCTTTTCGCCATTTCCAACGTGCTTGTCGCGTCGAGTTGGAAAAATTGGATGAAAATTTATTTCATATCAGCAGCTTCTCTTCAGTCGCACAGGAATAAGCATGAGAAGTGAGGATAATTTTTTGCTGGATATTTGCGCATTTCTTGGCAAATTGAATTTGCCACCGGGAAAATATTTACCTTATACAAGCATCGTGATATTGCAGGAATGTGTGAGTGTGTGTGTGTGTGTACATATTTTCCAGCTTTGCTCGGGGGTGAAAAATGAGCAACAGACTTCATTATTTCACCTCCGCAAATTATCCGTAATTAATTACTAGACTTCTGCATGAAAAATGGTCGGGAAGCAATATTACAGATGTGCGACAGAGCAGTGGTGAAAATTATTTGATTAATTGACACAGATCGAGTGTTATGGAGCTGAATTTAATTTTTTTTTCCACCCTCTCGATGTGGAAAACACAGCACACGAGTTCAACACTGTGCGTGCCAATGGCTGAAAATTAATTTTCATATCATTCTGCCATTTGTATATCAACAATGTGGACAAGAGTGGAGAGTGTGTGGCAAATGAGAGGGAAGAAGACAATAATATAATTAAAAGTTTATTGCAATCCACCCACTTTGCGCCGCCCTCAAAACTTTCAATTTGTCAAACAGCATAACAAGTGTTGATGGTGGAGAAAAATGCCCGCAGAGAGATTTATTGCCATCGCCACTGCCATGATAAAAAGTTATAATAATTTTTCAGCAAAAGCAGAGAGAGAGAAAAACACACCTTAAAAATTCCAACGACAGTCGCATGAACTTGCCATGATTTTGCCATGCGGTCTGAAGGTGGAAAAGAAGTTTAGTGCGGGAAATTTTATGATGATTCTCACATATATATTTCAATGAAATTCACCTGTGTTTCATGCATGGCAAGGCAACATTTAATAATTTTGTACTTTACAGTTTCCTCAAAACACACTGTCTTACATATGTAGTATTTCATTAAATGAAAATTGTTTATGAGGATGTTTATGGAGACGTAAAGTTGAACGATAATTAATAATTATTTCCCACTATAATAAACCCATGCAAGAACATGTTATATTACACCGCACAATTCCAGAATCTTTTGAATATGCCTGAGCACAAGAGCAGACTTGAGAGTCTGGCATTATGCTCTTGTTCACCCTGGAAAACACCCCCATATCTCCGTGTATAATAGCATTTTCTGACTACACATTCGCCACTGCACAGGCAAAAACGGGGCGCAGAAGACAAAGTGGGAAATTACATAACCTGCAATACATAAAACTACCCCTCTTCCCACAGAATAGTTCGTTTGTAATTAATTCAATTTTACATGGTTGTTACTTGGAGAATCAAATTGAATCACGCTTTTTACTCCACCTTTCAACAACACAGCATCCAATCAATGTGCAACAATACGGAGAGTTTGATGTAACTCATATGCAGAGCATTCTATGGCTATTCATAATTACATCGCTCTGCAATTTTCCTCGATGTCATCTGTATGCAAAATTTCCACGCAATTAGTTGTGATTTTAATTAGTCATTGCGTTTGAAGGAAGCTTTTTCCGGTGATGAAAAGAATTTTCAATCAATTTCATCCATTTTTTGTTTGAATATATTAACATTTTGCTTTCCTGTCAGTCATTTGAAGAGATTAAACATCAGTGCTTGTTATAAATTGCTTTTGATTGCATATTTGCAATTTTCATTGAAATCATTTTCAATTCACATGAATTAAATACGCTAATTAGTAAGTCTTCAAAAACTTTACAATAAATGTAGAAAATATGAATTTTAAAAATTGAACTGCATTTCAAATACTATTTCAATTAATCACATGAAAATACAAAAATGTACATTTCTGCAGTTCGATTGAGGGTTAAAAATCACTTAACAAATGAGAAACATTTCAAGAGCAATTGCAATTCAATTGCCACGCATTTTATTGGCACATTTAATGGCACTGCACGTGGGAAAACTTGTCAGAGAAAGTTATTTGAATAGCATTCAACTTGACTGTGCTGTGTTGGCCTAAATAAACCAGAGATGCCGCACTAAAGAGCTTTCGCAATGTGAAACGCCAATAACACTTCAATTAGGTGGATCAGAAGTTACGTGTGCGCAGCGAAGCCAGAATAACTGCACAGTTTAGCCGTTGATATGTAATTAATTGGAAAATGCCTTTTCCAAAGTTACACTGTCAAAGTGCAGGAGTGGCAAAAAGTGATAGTATAGAGAGATAGGCTAACGATGGAAATGTGTTTATATTCGCCTGGTTGGCGATTGCGAACGATAAATTTGCTGCTTTATTAATTTATGATTATTGCGGGGCGCCTCACGACTCAATTTATTAATATTTAAAAAGCCCCTCATTTCCCCATTCGAGCGCTCGTACTTTTACACCATTATTTCTGATAAAACCACATTATTAACGACGTCGCATTCGCGGGGGCGCCGCGCGACGGAAAAAAGCTCGTCTATCGCAACCTCAAACTTGAGTGACAGGTCAAGGTTTTGCTGCGAAGTGAGAACTTTCTCGCCGCGATGTATCGCGATGGAATTTTCAATTTCCCAATGTGAAATATGATCCGTGTTCAACTGCTCCCCAAACGACTGCCACCTTTTTGCCGCATGTAAATTTGACATGATGTACATATAAATTTGGCCAAAAGTGCGGCTAAGAGATAAAGTTTAATAATAATGGTGGTGAATTTTCCTCCTCCGCACACACACAAACACGCAGAATATTGCCGAAACATAGATTTTGAAGACAATGAGCGCCACACAGGGAAAGTTTCTCGCAAAGTTTCATTCAATTATCTTCAATAATGGAATAATAATAATCAATTTGGCAAAATATATGGGTTTGGTGGCGCGCGGACGGGAAAAAGGAGCGCGCGAGTGAATCAGATAAAAATTCCAATACAATTGAGATTGAGGAGATTCTGCGTCTTCGCGCCTGTGTAACAAAGGTGAGTTGAAATTTTTCTCATCTCCTCTAATCATATCCGAGCCAGTGCTGATATACATTTAGATCAATTTTGCTGATTAGAATAAATTCATTTTGGATGCGGAGAGTGAGAGGAGTGCGAAGAAGGTGCGCGCCGAGCGCGGGAAATTATGCTAAATCGCAGTCTCAAGAGCCACCATTAGGGTATTTATGGTTATACTTACACACGGAAAAACAAAGTTCCGTCTAAATAAACTTTCTCAGTCACTTTATGGCTCGTTATCTTCCCAAGGTTTCTATCTATCAATATTTGCTCGGGATTTTAAATAATCCCCCAAACGAAAAGCATTGCCGAACTGATGCTGCGACGTGACTCGCCGCAAATCATAGGCGAAATATCTGTTTATTGTGCACTTTCGTGGCCAAACTCTGGAGTTTCTCAAGAGTCCAGATGAAGAGCGATCTGTCTAAGTACGTAGTTGAGATTTTAAAAAGTTTCACTTTGCGGAAAACATTGTATTTGTCATGTTGTTCAACTTCCTCTTCGCTTCGCACACAATCTCCACGCTCTCCCCCACCCACCCACCCTTAATCGCATTCCTGGCGCTGTGAGATTGGCGAGAGAGATTTCCGGGGCACAGAAGAAGAGGCACTCAGAGAAAATGAGAACTATTCCAGAAGATGGCACAGGAGAACAATCCAGCCGAACATTCATGGAAATGTCTTCCACTTCACTCAACATTTTTGTACTCAATTGAGATCAACAAATCTCCTTCGCAACACACAATATCGCACAAGTAGTGTGGATAGTCTTTGCAAGAGGCTCTCAAGTAGGCAATTTGTGAGCTAAACAAGATGCACTTGCAGCCGAGCAACACGGAAAAATTGATGTTATTTCTTTGATGGAAAGCATGACTTTGCTCGCAATTCACTATTCACAAATTTGCTCTCTCTATCTCTCTCTCTCTCTCTCTCTCTCTCTCTCTCGTATATGGAAATTTATTCTGCAGCGCAATCTTGCAATAAGATTCCATTTTACAGATAGTCTCGGAGCACTGAAGTATTTCCCGCTGTCCTTTGACATTGCAATATCCTCATGTTCATTTATGTTTCATATTATGTTGAACTCTTGTGCAGTTCGCCTCATATAAAGTCCTGTGAAGGGGTTCCAAAGTGATGCTGCACAGTGAAGAGGAAGTTATATTGAATGTTTATGAAATTCTAAGAATTCTGCACACTTGTCTGCACATGTCACAAGACTTTTCAATTTATCAGACGCTCGATAAACTGTTCTAATCACAAAATGAAATTGAAAATAACAATATATTTCAATTATATTTGGGTGAAAACATGTGAAACCTTCTATAGTTGTGAAATACACTATCTATAGAGGGTTCTGAGTTTTCTTGAACAAGTTTAGTAAAGTTCCATTAGTGTTGCTTAAGACGAAAATTACTTCAAGAATAAGAAAGATATTTTTATTCAATTTAGTTTGTTGGAATTGAGATGTTTTCAAAACGTGATTACATATGAAGATTGAAGAAAATTTAAGTTTGGACATTTTTCTGCAATGTTAATTTATCGCTGGCCACAAAAACTCAGTTATTTTCCCCATAAGATAAACAGAACAAATGCCTGTGTCTGTTCAAAAGGAGTTTCATAAGTTGCCCTTGCTTTAAACACCCAATTTCGCTCAATTTCCACACAAGAAACACCTTCAACGCAGAGCACAATTGTCGCTGCTTGATTTCAGTTGCGCCCCACGAATTTCTCAATCAGCGAGATGAATTCAGCATCGCAGTGACGAAAACTAAAATTACCGGCGCCAAGAAAGCATATCGCGCTGTGCAAATAAACATAAAAGCCCGGCGCGCGTCAAGGTGTGGCGATGATAGTGTTTTCCCACAGCAATTGCTCGCCTCCTGCTGTAAATCCCACTCGCGAGAGAGCCACAGACTGATATCTGGCAGAGAGGAATGAGATTTCTGTGTTCACTCACCGATCACAGTCGCTAGAATGACGATCCCGAGTATTACTGCTGTCGCTATCATCGTGAGCAAGATCTCGCCGTTGGGCGAGAAAGAGTCTGTCCTGTTCCAACTCACGCCACTCGTGCCACTCACGGCAGTCACGTCAACTGTGGCCTGACTCGCGTTCACCACACTCACGGGGTCACAGTGGAAGAAGTGCGTGCAGTTCACGAACACCCATTCAATTGACTGGACGCTGAGGTTGGCCGCGGTCGGCTCGGGTGTGCTTGTTGCCGGCGCTCTGGTGGCTGAACTGTGCTCGCCGGCACCACTGATTGAAGTGGAGAAGTTGCTCAGGAGTCCCGTGAGTCCGTTGTAGAGCCCAAGTCGCCACAGTGGCGCCTGATCCGTGTCATCATTTGACGACGGTGGACTTTGCTGATGCTCAGGACTATCATCTGGACGAGACCATGGCCACCATGAAGGGAAAAGCTCATTCATCTTCCTCTCCTGCGCACCTCTTCACGCCCTCCAGGCCACGATTTTTCGCCCGGCCTCTCTCCTCGTCTCTACACCGCACTCATCAATTCCATGCTCTCACACTTGGGCTTCAGTGGGTGGCGGCGCTCAGTCGCCGAAGTGATGTAGAAATTTAATTGATTCCCAGGATCAGGTGAAACTCACTCAATCCACTCAATAATTCCTCCATCGTCACACACTTCTTTGCAGCCCCCGAACCTTCCTGCGGGACGCCCTCACACGGTCTGTGCACCTGACAATGATGATGATGTTTCTTGATGAGGCAAACACTCACACCTCACCAGCCAACCAGCGAGACAATGTATAAATTGGCATGTGAAGGAGTGAGACACATATGTTAGTTAATTAATGATATGGATTATCGTATTACATTCTCCGTCCAATTAGTCTTTACACTTCAACGCAAATTTGTGGAATATGTCGCTATGAATACCGTTTTAAATTACACCCAATATTATTCGCCTTCCAACTCGCACGAAAGATTCTCGCCTCACGACTCACTCAGTCCGTCGCACACTTTCTGCACAAGAGAAGGGTGTGGGAATTAATTTATGGTATTGCAATCTTCAATTACTAATGAAGAGTTCTTGCCATATTACAACATTTTCTCTCACTCTCCCACACTCCAAATGCTCACGTGCCCTTTCAACTCCGCCCGATAATGCCGAAGAAATCCCACTCGCACTCTCATGAGTTGTTCAAGATTGACTCACATTCGAGGGGCATTTACCTGCCTTTCTCAAGGCACTTTTGCCACCCCCTCTTCTGACTCTGGCATAAAATGCCATCGCAAAATAATATTTTCTTTAGAAATCGATATCTCCACGTTCCGCGCCTTCATCTCTGTACACATTCACGTCTCAATCAGACTGGCTTTTGAGAATGGGATTGTGTTTCTTTGCTGCAATAACCAGAAATCTTGTTTACAGCCAACCGCGCGTATACACAATCATGCCTATGATGGATTTCGCAAGACAATGAGCATCACAGAGCCTATTTTGAGAATTAAATTCATACATTTCACTGCGGTGTCGAATAACTGACTTTTTCCGAAATCAACATCCCAAATATTCAATTGGGAAGATAATTTGTACATTTTCTTCACCAAATAGTAGGATATTTATGCAAAAAAAGGTTCTTTAAAATTTTTGGTAGGTTCAGATAAAACAGCAAAAGTACTAATCTTGATATGAATGAATCAGTTTGATGATAATAAACGTTCTGATCCTTAATGGCAATCAAGAAAATGAGAATTAGGCTTTAAACGAACTGATTAAATCTTAGTAACAAACACAGTAGAATGAGAAGTGATTCAAAGTACTGATAAAGAGCGTGAAGAAAATTATAAACATCCTTAGGCAATTTTATATCTCTTGAAGACTTAAAGTTTCCCCTTTTCTTAGTTTGCATCAGCACTGGTGGCATTGATAGGAATTCACCCCTCGGCCGCGGGATAGAGAAGGACTTTATGTGTATGAAGTTTGGAAAATATACACACATTTAACAAGGTAACGCCTTCGAGTGCGTGAGGATTCTTTACAAGTTTCTTGTCTCACCATCCCCTCATGTTTCTCTATTCTCTACTAAACATAAGTATATTGGAGAAAATCTCGACAAGACTTTTCTTGCTATGGCAAAGTTTTCGCGTGATGTGCGAAGCAACAGAGAAGAGAGGAGCGAGACAAGATGCAAGAAATGATAACAAATGGTTACATTTTCTCCCATAATCTCTAACACATTCACACCCCCCCCAAAAAAGAACCCAAAATCATCTCCTACATTTTTTCCTTTATAGTTCTTTTCTTCTTTTATGCCCATCTGACGGCGGGTGGGGGAGACGAAAGGGTGTGAGCTTCTCCGCCCTCATCGTGCTTTTAATGGCGGTTGTGTAGAGAGATGCCTTTGAATTATTGTCGCCTCCACGAAGAGGAATTTTCTCACATGGTGACAAAATTTACAATCTCTGCAACACTGGTTTTTTTCAAAGGGACTCTTTTCCACCCGCGCTCTTAGCAAACATGGAGAGTTTCACTCTTTTTTTTATCGTGCTTTATGGAGGTTTATATTTCTCTTTTGCCGCACACGCTTTTTATGGGCCACCGTGACATCGCCATAGTGCAAAGGAGTGCGAAGGGCGCACAGCTGAGCAGTGAATTTGGTATATTATATGGATGACCCGAAATCTCACCTCTGCAGAGCGAAAAGCTCACACGCACATCGCGCGCGCGACACAAATTGGCCCGTGAATGTCGTTGATGTGCGACAAACTTACAATAAAAACAATAATAATAAAGCCAAATCTGAGCAGTGATAAACTCCGACACAACAACTCGATGACATTTTTTCTCATTCTCACACATGGTGCCAACATGACAAATTTAATCTTTTTTATCTGCAGAACGCGCCGGAAAAAAGGCGGAGAGCAGAGAAATTTAATCATAAATGAAATAACCTTTTCGCCCGCCTCCCGTTTTTTTTTGTCATATACATATATTGTGACTTTTCTGTGTCTCGTTTTTCCCGGACAATTTACTGGCACATCTCATACTGGGGCTCTGTGAACTCCACATTCTGTATATTACAATTTTCCGCTGAGAATATTAACTCAATTTTTATTTTATTCCTCTCGACACACTCACTCTTCTGCCCTTTGACACCCTTCATTGGGCACTTGGTGGAAATTTGTCACCCCTTTTTTCCCCAAGCATCTCAAGTGTGGGGGAAAAAAGTTGGCAGAAAGTGTCTGGGAAGAGTTCATTTTTTCCGTATTCATCATCATCAGAAAATTGGCATAAAATACAGAGGCACATTTATTTAATTCGGTCAATTTTCCTCGCGCGCGCTTCAAAAGGGTGGCGAAAAGTGAGTTTTTGTGTGGTGAGAAAGTGTTTGAATATATGGCAAAACACTCTTCATCTCAAACCCCCGCCAGAAAAAAACCATAATAACGCGTGAAATTGTTGATTGATTTCAAATAAATGATGTGTAGAGGAGTGAGAGCAACAAGAAAAAATTCTTCAACGCCAATAAACACACTTCTTATGTGTCTCAATCACCGGCTAGAGGAATCCCGAGCACCGAACACAAATTTATGTGATATTTATTTAATTTATGGAAAGATGAGAGTTTATGCTTCTTTTCACGCCCGAATTTCACGCTCGCGTTCCTCAAGATGATTTTATTTTTCCTTCCTTCTCCTCTAAACAAATCAATCTCTCGAGTCTGTCTTTTTGGGAAAACTGCACGCAGAGAGAACTAAATCGGCAACTCCTTGAGCATGTTTGCCACACGACGCGCCAGCGAGAACTGATCTTCTGTGCGCTCAGCACAGCGTTTGGGCTTCAACTGAGTCTCTTCCGAGAGGTGTAACATCCCAGACGCTCTCACTCACACTCAATTGCCGTCACAATTTCCCCCTCTGCCCAATGACGTCACGCCACGATTTTCCAGCACACTTTCCCGAGCACACAGAGACACCAGTTGAAGAGGCCACGGCGCGATAGAGAGGCCAAATTCCCGCACAGTCGAGTCTCGAGAGCAAAGAGGACTACCTATGACGCTCTCACATGCCATTTTAAGCTTAATCCTCTCTCGGCGCTCTCGCTTGCGCCCCAGCACGCGCCCCCTTTGGTGGGACGCGAGCCGAGGATGCCTTTTTGTTTCTCTACTTTAAATAACATTCACAATATTTCGCCCCCGAATCACGCGCGAGGGTGGAAGAGAGACAGAAGGCCCAGGGCGAGAGAAAAGCGGAGGAAATGAGTGAGAATCTCGTGTGTTTTGTGATACATTTTGGCTTTTTGCATCTCCACCCGCCCCAAAAACCACCCCCCTGAACCCCACATAATCATCTCAATATGGGGAAGAAATGTGTTTTCTAGCGAAAAAGCCAAGAAGAGCTCTTTAAGCTTCGCGAGATGCTCTCAGGTGATCTTCAGTCAAATTCAATCCCACGCCTTTTTATCATATCAAGCTCCAGAGTATGTAAAATCCCGTCTTACTAATATTGTTCATTTTCAGCGAATTAGTGTTCGCCCTCCAGGCGAAGACATTTAATTAAATAATGCGAATTATACAGATGTTTCTTGCAAATCAAGCTCACAGTAATTCATTGCTCGTTGCTTTTTGTGCACATTTTCTCTACAACAACCTTTGCCACATCATGTATTTATTGATTCAAAGTATTAAGAGTATCTTTTGAAGCGCGGAAAGGAAGATTGTCTTAAACAGAACAATGCTTTAGTCAGTGTTCAATAAATTTCATGTCACGTGCTTTGATTAAAATCAAGATAGACAGAGCTTTAAGCTCTCAAAGCAGTGTTGTTCTGATTCTTTTTAAGACATTTTTCATGAACTATATTCGTGTAATCTTTATAATACATTTATTATAATGAATTTGGTTCTTTTTTTTGACACGAGGGTGAAACGTGAACGTGGAGCAAAAATGCATTATTATGTCTCTATGTTTCGCTATTTTCATTATTTTTCAGACTCTCTCTTCTGGCTTTAGAACCATAAACATTTTCCAAATTGTCTTGGCATTGTTCTAGAGAGACTTTGTAGTAAATTTAATTAACTCC